AAACAACTCCGGAAATATATGCACATATAAATTACACGATATTTATTTACTGCAAGCTTCGTAGACATTATGAAACTATTAAATATCGACCTTAGGGACAAGAAAGAATCTGCTTGCTTTTGCAAATTTGATAAGATAGATACCATTTTAACCGTGCATATTCTCGATACCTGCAGAAAGTTGTCAACGCAAATAAGCTTTTGAATAGGTTGTAAATTCCGAAGAAACGAGGCCACAAATCCTACAATCTACAGGACCTACGTTTCAAAGCCAGATGTGGCCCAATCCAGTTCTCGTTAGAGTCTGCCACGTCTCGGTATTTGAAATCGAGGTAAATTTCTGGTTTAGCGGCTTTTCCTTCAATGTTCTGTGTTTTTTGATAAAATACAGATAAAAAGAAATGCCAGATCTCTTTTTAAAGAAACAGAGCGTGCAACGAAACGGCCAAAATTGTGAAGAATTGGTGAGTTAGAAATTTACCGAAATCAAGAGCAAACTCTCAGATACCTAAAGCATCGTCGCTAGTTTTAGATTTAGTCAAATATAAATAGCTTTGTACCTTCTGCGACGAACATCGTCTCGTTAAAATTAAGTTAAGCGTCTTTCAAATGCTCGCCTGTCTATCGACAAGTGAAACAACGAAACACCGAGAAACTACGAACACAAGGATTCTTGTGACGAAGTTTCTTGCGACGAATTTTCGCAAACGAAAGTCAAACGAAATGAAATTCTTGACTGTCAGGTCGAAGTTCGTGCGCATATTTTGCTAATGGGACGGAATATTTAATTTTTGTGAAATTAAAATTTCCCAAATCCGTCGTTTATTTCGCCAATTCAATTTGTCCCTTGGTATCAAACAGACAAAAATATTAATGTCTGTAATGGAAAAAAAAAGAAGGAAATGGCAAAAATTGGGAAAAATAGACTAGAAACTTACTGAAATCGAGAACAAACTCAGAAACCTAAAACTTTATCGCCAAAATCAAATATAAAAGAATAAATAGTTAAATTTGCAAATTATTATATTAATTTATTTACTATTTAATAAATAGAAGTCGATGAAGCCATGTTCAATTGTAAAATTCACACAAATCCTACTCTCATGTAAGTCAATTTCATATCATAATCCTTTATTTAACATTATAGTTGTAAACAATAATTATAATATTAATAATACATATTATAATATAATAATAATTAAAAAAGGTAATGTCAAGGAACTTGAAAACGAATATTATTTGCAATTCAAACGGTATGTTTCGTTATTAAAAATGTCAGAAATATATTATAAGCTAAAAAATATATGTAACACGTTAAAAACATTTCTATAATATAATATTTTACAAAAAAAAAAAAATGTCGAATTAATACGAGGGACGAACGATGTTTAATATAATATAAAATTAACGTACACAAGTATTAATTTTTATTTAAAAAAATATAATGAAAGCGCATTTTCCATTTCGCAGTACTATTTACGTTTTTTAAAAATTCTTGACCGATGATATGCATTCTATTTTAATCGTCATAGTACATTTATAGAAACAGAAACTCACCGTTATAGTCAACGTGTTGACCTTGTTGGCCAAGTGTAATAAATAGACTGCGAATTTTATGCAAATTTATATTTTCTAGACTTAGTAATTTAAAAAAACAGAATCTCGGTAGAAAATTGTTTTATACATCAGATATTACAAAAAGTATTAAATATCGGATATTTTATACACCTTTTCATATTATTATGCTTGCATTATACATTTAATTAATTTAAAAATTAATTGTATAAATATATGGATATAATTATAATATATATATTATAAAAGTAAGTAATTCTACTGCAACAATTTTATAAGACTTAAATTAATTAATTAGTAATAATTGTTAATAATTAACATAAATAATAATAAACACATCAATTATTAACAATTAATTATTAATAATAATTATCGTCAATTAACAATTCGTTGTAAAACTAAATATCCTTTTCCCAACGGTTGCAAGAAGTTTGAAAATTTTCCAAAAACTTGTGGTTTCAAAAACTTTGGATCTCCAAACCCTGAACTACATACTCGATATAGATACACTCAGAAAATATAACACCAAAAAAAGCTTTTTTTAATTTTTTAATAATTTATTACTAATTATATTATTACTAATTTATTATTATTAATAATATCATTATCATTATTATTATTATTAATATTATATATGTATTTTCACATATTTATTGTTCTTGCTTTCTAAGTTTCGTAAAACAGTATGCTAAGAGAAAATTACCGAACCGTTTCTTGAAGTATCCTAGCACAGTAAACTACCCATCCAGAAAGTGGAATTGAATAAACAACCATCTCTATTTCCACCATTTGTGATCTAGAGCAGTATAGCGTACCGTGCAGTAACGATTTGACTTTTATTTTTGTCAGTTTCGAGCTCGCCCGATCATATTCTGGATCGTGTATAAATATTTAATATACTACTTTGCTCGGTCGAAAATTACCTCTAGCCGAACGTCAGAGAAAAAAATTGTCACGTCACTGTATGTAATAATCCCGATTTGTAGGGAAGAAACGAAGAAATACTAACGGGATTGTTCGAATTCTGTGAAACACGGCGAGCTGCCACATAAATTGAATTTGCAGAAAAAAATTAATTTTTTTTTTCAATTTTTTCATCAAAAAGAATTTGGTGAAACTTATTAATTAATTCGCAAAAAAAAAAAAAAAAAAAAAAAAAAAACAGAAACAGGTATAATTGCTGGTTTTGTTTCCGTGCATTCAAGTTAAACACTTTTGCTCCATAGCCACGTTGTTGCGCAACGTTATTCGACTCGACGTGAATTAATTTATGTCGGACTAATTTTCACCGATGGTGTGTAACTTCTTTTCTAAAACGAGCTACATTAACGGGTCGATGTTAATTCAATCACGAGAGAAAAAGAAAAAAACGGAACGTCTCAACGCGAGATGAAAATTTCAAAAACGCTCTTTCCTGGATTAACGAGAGAAAACAAATGTAAAGTTAACTCTCATGAGACGACGGCCGAAATCGTTCCAGAAAAAAATTGGAAACATCGCGTGTTGAATTTACTTTTACCAGAAAGATTGACAGTTGTTTCCAGAAATTTTTATGAAAGAAAAGAATCAATAACTGAAGCTTGTTTATTATTTAAGCTGACTATGTTAATCTCTGACGAAGAAAATTCGATTGAAATATTAAATGTTTTGATTATACTGTAAATCTTTCTCGTTGCCAAAAACCACAAGGGAAATTCTATTTTTAATTGTAAATGTATTCGCAATAGTTATCGACAAGGAAAATTTATTCCGATTGTTCAATTATCAACGAAGAGAACTTCTATTTCATCGTTCATAACAGTGTAAATTCTAAAGTATTATTTTGTATTCGACTGAAACAATCCTCCGCGACAGCATTTAAATATTTCAAAAACCGCAGAGTTACTTTCTTATGTAAATTAGCGAAAAAAGATGGCCGAAATAAATTTCCTTTAGGTTTTACTTTATCTCGATAACTATTATGAACGACCAAAAGAGTTTCTCTCGCTCTCGATAACTACATATTATAAGTATCGAAATAAATATAGTGTTGTAATTCTTTGTTATTTGCAATCATAAAGAAATAACTACCGATCTTTCTTCATTCTGGTTACAATAGTTATGGTCTCTGACCATTATCGTATCGAATGATAAAGGTCTTTCCTCGAAGGAGCAACAGACGATGTTATCGCGAAAATCGAGTCGTGCGAGAAAATGTGCACGCTATGACTGGACACCTATTTAGGATTCGGTGATCAATCACAATTTGATTCCACTTGGAGAAACTTTTCTGTGCGTCTCTGAGGAATCGAACGAGAAACCACGGACGTTGTATCATTACGGGACAATTCATCGTTTAGAATTTCGTCTGAAAAACTATAAGCTCTAGGTCTAGTTTGTTAATCCTCACGTAACTTTTTCTATCGAGGCATCTGTAGTTAATATCTAGAAATTGATTTATTATTATTTTTCGTTACTACAACGAAAAGACAATCCTTAGAAATCAAAATTTCGAAATCTTAACGTGAATATTCGTTTCCTTCTTTGTGTTGATAACATCGCTTATTATCTTCACAGATTACCCACTCCTACGCGAGCTTATTTTTCCACGATAACTCCTACGCGACTTCTTTTTTTTTCTCTCTTTTTTAACCATGGTAACAAAAATTTCTTCACAAGGCGAGTTTTTAGATAAATCTAACAGACACTGCATGACGCACAGAATACGTCAATAACATCGAATGATGAATGATACTCTATTCGAAAAATAACTAACCGCTTAAAGCACGAAACTTTTCACCGAATTTTTAACCACTTGCGCTGGCAATTGACTGCGGACCATAACGAGCAACCGAACCGTACACAATAATTCGTCGCTTTCTTTTTGGAACTCGTCGGTATGATATCATTGGATAGAAATTATTGAAAAGTAATAAATGAAAACCGAGTCAATAAATGTCAATAAATGAAAAATAAAAATAAAACTGAGAAAATATTGCAACTTTGGGACAAAAAATTCTCGACGTTGCGTGGCACGTCATTCGTCAGCGCAAGAGGTTAATAGTCAAACCGTTTAAGAGAGAAGAAAAAAAGAAATGTCCAGAAACCACTTGAGCAAATTCCCTTAAATTAAAATCACACAGAAGACAGAATTTGTGAAAGTTTATACGAAGATCAACGATGAGAATTTAACAAGTGTATAATTTTATTAATAATTAAATTATTTTTCATTTTAGAGGTATTTTATTAAATAAAATGAAAATATCTCTAATAACGTTTCTTAGTGTGATATGTTAGAACAACATAAAACAATTTCCCTACTTCTTGGAAAATTATACAACATTATAATATATAATTATATATAATATATATTATTATATATTATATAATATATATTAATATATTATATGTTATATTATATTATATTATATTATATTATATTATATTATATTATATTATATTATATTATATTATATTATATATTATGTATTGTCATTATCTACGTCTTTATTATATTATATTGTATTATTATTACAATAATATTATTGATTTATTGGCACCACTATGATCGTTACTAATTTTCGAGCTATTTATAGGAATGAATGGGGTGTGACAGTACGAGAGTGGGAGAGAGAGAAAGAGAGAGAGAGAGAGAGAGGTGTTTTTGTGTGCGTGCGCGTACGAGAGAGGATGATGAGCTTGATCGAGAGAGGAGAGAGAAAATAAGAAAAAAGAAGAGAGGCAAACGGTTGAAACGTGCACGTCGCAACGACAATTGTACATTATAAACGGAAACACAGCAGCAGAAACGATTGATTCGATAATTGAAAAAGAAGATACGTCGAGCATTATAATGATATACATACAATGTATGATATATACGTATAATAATCTCGAACAACTTCTCAGTTGATTGAAACTGTTTGATTTTTTGTCTTCTTTAACCCGATTGAAACTGTAATATATTTAATATACATACACGCGCGAGTACACACACACACACACACACACACACATACACACACGCAAACACATGTACGCGATACATGCCACTTACCAGCATATACTATATGTAAACATAGAGATATGCAATCATAATTATATTATTATATTAATAGCAATATACGATCATTATTTTACTATTACTCTCGTATACGGTCGTATCGCGTGTAGTACCTATAATTCCGATTCCGTAAACGCGTTGCTCGAACCTCGCGGGCAACTCTCCGGTCCTCCGTGAATCGCTCGGGTCGGCCTTCGAGCGTGTTTCCACGCGGCCGAGAAAAATTCACCCACGGCCGTTTTCACTGAAACGGGAGAGATGGAACTTGAGACACGAATTCTCGGACTTCGCGAGCTGATATTCCTATATTTGTACGATATCGACGAGAAAGTTGGGAGGGGAGAGGACGAGGACGGGAGAGTAGTTCGGCGTTGACGGTAACGAGCAGCCGAAACACTACTAAGTAGCAACGAGCAATGCACAAGCAATCAGTTAGCAATTAATTAGTTAATGTATCGGATGGACGCGCGACTGGGGGGTGGACTCTGTACACGATTCGAAGGGTAGTTTTCTTTTCCTTTCTTTTTTTTTTTTCTTTTCTTCTCTCTTCAGCAAGCCAATTACTCGATGCGTCCCTTCGAACGAGAGACGGAAAAATCATTTCACCGACGTGCGTACTAATCTAAACTTGTTGCTACTTTCGGAACGACGCTCCAACTCTAGTCTTGTCTCGAAAGTAGACTCTACCCTTCACTCGTGAGAGTCCCGCGCAGAGGCCGGCAGGGTAAATTGAAATTGCGCGTCGATCGCCGGTCACGCTTGACGGAGATCATCTCAAAGAGAGGCGGCCAGACAGACGGCCGGGCAAACAAGCAAGCAAGCAGAGAGAGAGAAAGAGAAAGAGAGATTCGTAGGATCGAAAGTAGGAGCGAATGAGCGCGTGCATGAATAGAAAGCAGAGAACGGGAGAGAATGTGCCGAGAGGATGAGGAGTGTGCACTGCGTGAATGCGAGAAACGGACAAAAGACGAGTGGAGAACGAAGCAATAAAAAGGAGATACGTAGAATGGCAACCGCACCAAGGAGAGACCAAACTCTTTCGCTTAACGAAAGATCGTTACTTACGTACTTGCTTATTTATTTTAATTGATAATGTTGATTGATCGATCGATTGATTAATTAATTAATTATTGTATTTATTGGCGCGGAAGGCTGAGAGACGCTGTGATTCGCGGAAAGAGAGAAAGAAAGAGAGGGAGAGATTGAAAGAGACGATGATTATGCACTAGCGCAAGTACTCGATCCAAAACCAGCCCCAAACACGAGAAACAAGAACGAACAGAGCGATAAGGATTGCGTGCACGAAGGAATCCTTCGGTCGTTACTTCGAACCCTCCGACTACTGAACCTCAGCGTCCAGTGCTGGAATCATTTCTGACTCGTATTCAACTAATTCATATTTAGGGTCGTCCGGACGACCTCACCGATACTGTACAGAGTATAACGGTCGCTCGAGACCGAGATTCTCATCGATATTATACCAACACGGTGACAGACACCCGTTTATATCAAAACTGTGACTCTGGCACAGCAGACGGAGGGTTAAGAGGCCAGCCACGTATATTCCTGATCGCTTCGATGATAGGACTGAAACTGAATTTGGTGATCGAGGGTGAGGGTGAAGGGGGTGGAAACAGAGAGATCGTATTATGATCGTGGGCGCGTGAGTGTGTGTCGATCCCATCGTGTTCGACTTTCTGTCTGCTTGGTTCGTTAAACGAGCGCAACGTCGTTTTCCCGGTCTCGACGATCGACATTCACGATTGGTTGGTGAGCTGCCACGCACAATTCCGCGATCGGCCAGTTCCGCGATCTCACCCTCCTTCGTTTTTCGTCTGAATTTCTTCGTTAACTTGCAAATGTTGAAAATGTGGATCCAATGGAAACCGTGGCTTTTGCCATTTTGGCAGACAAAACTCTCTTCGAAGATAAAAACAGAGAGAATTTCTTGTTGTTAGTAAATTTTTATCGAATCGTTTACGAATCGTCGAGCGTGGAGTTCGGTCGAATTGCGCGGGAGGAGCAAGATGAATCCGATTGGTCGATTTCGTGGGGCGACTCGAGGGCAGGGGTCTTCTCTTTCTTTCCGCTTTGTTGGATCTTCTTTCGAAAAAAACAAAAAAAACAAAAAAAAAAAAAAAAAAAAAAAAAAACGGAAACGCGAAAGTTCGCCGCGACGACAAACCGAGTAACGACGTCGGTCCACGTCGGACGAATTCGCCTCGAGACCGATTTGCAAACGCGCTGACGAGAACAGAACGGGGGAAGAAGAAAGACCGTGACAATATATACATATATACATATATATATACATATATATATCTATATATTTGCAAGATATTTTGCGAGCAGGGCTTTTTTATCTATTTTATAGTAATCTCAGCTTAAGCGGATTGAGAGAGAGGGAGAGAGTGAGATTGTTTTGCTAAAAACGAAAGAGAGAGAGAGAGAGAGAGAGAGAACGAAAGACAGACAGAGAGAAAGGATAAAAGGAATATATTTGTGACAAAATGGATAGAAAGAGGGAAGAGAGAGAGAGAGAGGGAGGGAGAGCCAGAGAGAGAAAAAGAGAGAGAGAGAGCGCGCTCGAGAGGGAGAGAGAGAGAGAGATTTAATACGCAGCTGACAAACGGTTTGTAAATTGCGTATATAAAAGATAGTTAAATTAACCGTCGGCTAGAAAAAAAACTGAAGACGGTTTCACTATGTTGTATACTCTATGTTTTATTTGTTTTGCGCCTTAAGCTTAATCTGATTATTAATGATAATGATTATTATTATTATTATTACTATTATTATTATTAGTTATTATTCATCATCATTATTACCATTATATCCTTATCATTATTAATTTTATTATTATTATTATTATTATTATTATTATTATTATTATTATTATTATTATTATTGCTATTATTGTGTACATGGTATAAATTGTAAAAAGGAACGTATTTACTATAACATATTCATTTTACGGAGGATTTACGAGATCCTTCGAATGAACAAATTGTTTAAAATAAAGTGATGGAATAAATACAATATTGACCAATTAACATTCATTCTTTAATGTCCCTTCTCAGTGGCGCTGGATTATCGTCCATTTTTCGCACATATCGTCATATTTGTTGTACAGAAAAATTAAGCAGAGAAGTTCGTTCGATTAATGAGCTTCCTCGCGTTAACCCGGCACACGTGAAACGTTTATGGTTGCCTATTAAAATAACAACGCGCACATTATAGATATACACGGATATCAACTTCACTTCAAGGAAAAGACATTACAAATTACCTATAATTAATTATCAGATTACGTCGTCCCACATTTCCGGGTTGATTAAGAACCTTGAATTTCGTTGAATCGAAAATTTTATCAGTACGAATTTTACTATCGTGATTTACTTCTTAACACTTTCACGGCAGGCGTCACATATAATGCTTGATTTTGTTTGTCCAAAAATATTAATACAAATAAATAAAATAAACGAAAATATTAATTCAAATAAATAAAATAAATGAAAATATTTGTTAACGCTAGCATCAATATATTCTACATATAAATTGGTATAATTTAAACGATAACTAAAATATGTGGATTTATACAATTCGTGTTTCTGTCCAAACAGAAATTAATATTGATTTCGACAAGAACAACCGTTTATCCTTTAAGTAATTCAAAACGATAGTCTGAAATCAGTCACATCAATCAGAGTTCGGTTGTTACAGTACACAGTAATATTACAATAGTTAAATTAATATGATACGACGAGAAAAATTGTACAAAACATACATAAAATATAATAATATTTCCTACGTGCGACTGTCATTTCAAATTTCCCCGCCAGGAAAGTGCTAGCCGAATTCTTGAAAAACACAAGTTCGATTGTTACAGTGCATCGATTAAAATTAAAATTAATTGAATTAATATGGCACGATAACAAATATTGTACAGTTATTTACAAAGCACACATAAAAATCATATTTCCTATATGCGACTGTCATTTCAAATATCCCGCCGGGGAAGTGTTAATCCGGTACATCGAATCGACTCGTCTCGTTAAATTCCTCGACGATTTGTCAGCGTCGTCCAACGATCATCTCCGCAGCAAACGTCACAGTCGCTACGAAGAGGCCAGTGGCGAGCATATAGAAGCTGAACAACACGTGCCGGATCTCCAGATTTCGGAACTTCCTCTTTCGATTCGTCCATCGTCTCTTCCTCGCCCTGTACATCTTCCTGGTGCTCGCCTTCTTCCACAGCATTGCTATTCCGACCTCCACCGTTCTGTGAATGATCCGCGTCACAGAAGCAAGCAGCGGCCAGTTTTCCCTGGTCACGTACACCAGCAGGTTCTGCTGTATCTTTCTGGACCGATGGAGAACGCTGTCGTTCTGAATTCTCGCGTATTGGTGAAGACAGTCGTCTAAACAGGCGGCGCGATCCGATTCCAGCACACGTTGCTTGCAACCGTGATAGGTGTTCACGTAGAAACGCGATCGTAGCTCGGGATCCTGCAGCTCTCGTTCGTGGAACATCGATCCATAGATTTGATAGCCAGACCTCTGCGAATGGTCACGTTTCGTAATTTCTTTTACAATCGTCGATCCTTTGAACCGTGAACCACGGCGGACGAGAGAATGCTCGGAAAGTCATTTTCACATTGGGGCAAATTTTTTGAAAGTGATTTCAATACGATAGTGTGTCCTCATTGAACGTCATATTGGTGAGAATATCATTGTCATACGATCAGCTGACAAACAGAGGAAATTCTACGTTGATCGTGTCAGAATTGTGACAAGGCGACAATATAATACAATGTACGGCAATGTAAGGCGTAATGTTACAATACGAAATATACATTCTCTTGTCCGCTACTTTGTTGTCCGAACGATCTAACATGTAATAAGACGATTGGAGCAGATACCTTGAGATTCTCTGCTGTTCGGATATTCGGCAGAGAAACGGGAATAGTAAGTAGCGAGGCCAAGTGACCCTGGATCAGCGCGTTGAATATCACGTGCAATACGAACATACTGCTGAAGAAAATTCTGGAGGAACTGGGTCTAGGTAATCTGTATATCGACCCGAAAGCCATGAAATGTACGATGTTGACGCTGCTTCGTAGAAATCCTTGATGCTTTGCAAGAACCAAAAGAGCAATCGTGCATAGAACACCGATTATCACGTGTACAGACGGCGACAGGAAGGACAGAATCTTGACGAACTCCGATAATTCACCTGCACGCCGCGTGATCACGCAAAGACCACCGTCTCCGTAAGGATACGTGTGTCTATAAAAAGAAAAAGAAAGAAACATCGTGATGTTGTTATCCGCATCGAAAGAGTTGTCGTCTTTTTCTTTCGAAGTAGATTGCTCCGATTGTGGTCAGACACTCGATGCGTTTCTTTTATTTGAACCTTTCTCTCGAATGTAATTTTTAAAAAGTAAATTTAAATTAGTAGCAAATTTTCGTAAAAAGTCGAACTTACGTTTCTTGAACTTTTCAAATCCTGTTTATTTGCGAGAGAGAAGATTGCGATGCATTAATTTGATGATAATTTTATGATACCAAAGTGTAATAAAAATGTGATAATGATATGTTAATGAGATGTAAAGCTGCAGGTAATTTTGTCTTTTCAAAGTGTTCTCGTGATCAAACACTCGGTCTCGAAAAATTTCTTTCGATAAACGTGCTTAGGTCACACTAAAATTTCGTTTGTTTACGAAAGAGAAGAGCAATTGGTCGAGATTTCTTTAATTTTGTTTGAAATTTATGGTTAATTCAATTCAGTCCAACTTACATTGAAATTCACAACGTATCTGTACATTGTCGTGTTAATTCAAATAGACGTGTCTAATCCTGATGTTCCAAGTTTTATAAAATGGTGAAAAAAAATCGTACAAGTTTTAAGAGGTCGTTGCAAAGGGGAGACTTCAATGTTTAAAACTAATAATTCTCTAGTGTGAATGTTTGCTTTATAGTTTGAAGTATCCTCCTCGCATGATGTAAAATCATCTTCGAAAAGAACGAACTCACGACTGTTCAAACAGAAGAATTTTCTTTCTCATGTCAGTTGAATTTTTCAATTCGTTATTGACACAATTATGCTCTTTTCGTTCTGTAAATGTAAACTGTTGCATCTTCGGTTTCAATGCAAGTGGTTAAGATTTTCGCCAGTATCTAAGCCAAACCTAACCCAAATCATTTTTGTGCAAAACTTGAGCCAAGTTCTAGTTACACCCTTTTGATTTAACACGGCGGCACAGTCTCCGCATACTAACGACCAGCACCGCGTGTGTATCTAAATTCCAAGCCACATAGCATCGTGGAGGGTTAACCTCTGGAGAGACACGTACTCGATTTTCCACGTGTTATGCAAGCTTCTCGCGTTCATTCCCATATCCACCTCGCCGGTAGCCAAGTCAGCCATCATTCCCACTATGCTCCCGTGACTATCAATCCCGCCTAGATCGTACACGGTCCCGGTGTGCACACGCACGCGAACACTCGCGTTCAATTTCTCGAACACTATCTTCAGAATTTCGCTGTTGTCACCGGAGAATCTTTGCAAGCCTGTCTTGGTCGAGTCGATTCGGAGATGGGGCTCGAAGTCTATGGCGTTCATTCTGATCTCGTAGCCGTTCAGATCCTTCGCCTTGTCGAACGTCAAGCCCTCGCATGTTCTTGAACCTTTCAAACGTGAGATATTACGTGTTATTTAATATTAAAAATAGAATTAGCCAATTTGTAATTTTAAAATTTATAATTATATAATTTTAATAATTTTATAAATTAATAATTATATAAAATAATATTTAATAATTATATAAATTAATAAATTTATAATTTAATATTAAAATAAATTGTAAAATTTATAATTATATAATTTTAATAATTTTATAAATTTATAATTTAATATTAAATTAAATTATAAAATTTATAATTATATAATTTTAATAATTTTATAAATTAATAATTATATAAAATAATATTTAATAATTATATAAAATTAATAAATTTATAATTTAATATTAAAAATAGAAGTAGTAAATTTATAATTTTTGTTGTATGTAGAACAGTGTACTTTTGGAGATTCAAATGATTTGAAAGTGTAAATAAAATCTTGCGTATTCCATGTATTTTTTTTTTTTTAAACATCAGTGTCTCTGATGGGAATTTTATGCTTCGATGGTTCTAGCGTTAACGAATCATTTAATGAAATATCGTCAATATTATTTTCGTCGCAGATAGGCGTCCTTTTTTTTCTTATTTAAGCTTTGGAAACGTTATTTGAGGTTTATTACAACTAAAATAACAAAGAAAACGAGAATATAAACTTTATACAAGGTTACAGTCTTTAAGGAAAAGCAATTATTATGTCAACTTTAGGAGTAAGAATAATTTGTATTTGCTGAGGTTTTTCCTAAGTTTAGTCCTTTAGGTGTTGTATAGCCTGCGTTGGATAAGCGTCTTATTTTTAGAAAATGAGTTTCTACTGGAAAGCAACGTATACGTTTTACATGTTCTATTCCTACGACAATGTTCTAAGTTGTGCTAACAGCATGCTGATTATCACATAGTGGTAAAAATATTCTTTGTTCGGTATTTTCGCTACAAACGAAAATATTCGATAATGACCAAGGTTTCAGCGTGTGAGACTTTGTGCAAAATGTACAAATATACAGGGTGGTCCATTGCCAGTTCAAACATCTTTTCGAATTGTGACGATACAAAAAATATTTTTTGCCTAACATGAATAGTATCCAAAAAGTCAATAACTGGTAAGAATATGTTTTTTTAACGTCTTTTCTTTCATCAAGATCATTGATGTTTTATTCATGTAATTACAAATATTTTTTTTTATTGTATTGTGTAGTTGGTAAAAAAAAAAATACGTTTAGGTATGTTAATAAAAAAAAAATATATATATATATATATAGTTGCATGAAAAGGACATCAATGACTTTGAAAAGTTACCAGTTATCGATCTTTCGGATAGAGTTAGGCAAAAAATACTCTTTGCAACACCACAATTCGGAAAGTGGCGTCACTTGAATGCAGCACCATCCTGTACAAAGTGTCCAAAACTTTACTTTATCGTAATATACAGATAGACGAGGCAAATCTTCAGCGAACAATAAATCGAGCAGCGAAACAGTTTATACCACCTTGATATTTCATTCTCAACAATGTCCACGGATGTCCGCCGCGCCCTCTGAACTGGCCAACGTTCCTCCAAATCGCTGGCGCGGTGCTCGAGTACGGATTGTAGGTGTAGAGGACGATCCCTTCGTCAGGATCGACGCACAGAAATATCGCGGCGAGTCTGTCGTATTGCCAGGCCGCCCACAGAAATCCGCGGGCGTTCACGCAGCCACGTTCCACGGTTTTCCTGTCTACGAGAATATGCAGCCCCTCGAACTTGCTCCAGCCGGAGTTCTTCGTCCTCTGCAGCAACAGCCGGAGCAAAGGCAACGTGGACGCGACCACGACGAACTGGCCCAACTTCCGAAATAACTGCGTCACGGGGTACTGCGTGTACGAATAATTGTGTGTATATATATTTATTTCAGCCCCTTTGGCCTTGAGATTGACTTTGGTTTATACATTGCACATTTCGCAGTGCATTTATCCTAATAAATTTTGCATGTTATAATATTCACATAATATTTTTTGTATGCTATTTTGCTTTATCCTATACTTATATTTATCTTAACTATGCTTACTCTTTTGTCTACTTAAGTATCTTAACCTAATTCTTTCATTTTATTTCATGTTTATTTTGTTGCTCTTTTCCATTTAGACCTGCCTTATCTCTTCCTGTTTCTCTTTATCTTTCTTTATCTTTCTATTCGCCTAAGCCATTTTACTGCTTCTTTCCCGCCTTCTTCACTCAGTGTCTCTCCCAGACTTGCATTTGTTGTCTCCATCTCTCTACAGTCTTTCCAATATTCTAATGTTCCCTCCTCATCCTCGCACAATTGACATTTCCGTTCTTCTTCGCTCGCCCAAAATTTACTTCCATTTTCTAGGCTGCCGCATCTTGCTCTGACTATCATCTTCTGCTCTCCATTTTTCCTCCTCTCCTTCAGGTAGTACCTATTTTGGTAGTTCTCCTGTTACCAGATACTTATACTTCCAATTGTATCTCGTCTTCTGAATTCTATTCCACTGTCTTTGTCTTTGTACTTCCGCTTCTCTTTTTCTTAGTATTTTCCCTGCTGGTTTCCCTTCTCTCCACAATTGTTTTACTCCTATCTGGCTAAAACCACATGTTTTGAGGTGATCTTGTCTTTCCCTTATTCTTTCTTGGTTCCCTTCTCCTGCTTTCTTTTCTTTTATGCATTCTTTGACCATTCCTCCCTATTTTTCTCTTTCTACTCTTCTTTCATACTCTACTGCTCTTTTTTGCCAATCTAATCTTCAGTTTCTCTCTCCACGATTATATAGTCTGGTGTCCTGATGTCCAGACCAAGCGTCCATTTAATATATTTTCTCTGTATTCTCTCTAATTCCGCTTTTTCCGTCCATTCCCATACTTCTGCTCCATAGGCCAGGATTCCCACGACTAGATTGTCGAATATCTTCATTCTCCTCCCATAATCGTCTCTAAATATTCTCTCTCCTATTCCCCATGCATGCTTCATTACCACATTCGCTTTCTTTACCATATATTTTATGTGTTTCATTGTACTTTTCGTTACTTTTAAATCGGTACCTCAGATATGTGAATTCTGTAACCTGTTCTATTGCCTTACCTTTCCAATTCCATGTCTCTTTCTTTTTCTTTCCCCCTCCTTTCCCAAACACCATCATCACTTGCTCTCATTTAGTATCAAATATTTGCCAAGAATGAATACCTCGAACGTCGTCGATTTCGACTGGGAGATCAACGCGACTGGTAGATCATTGATCAGAGATCGTTGGAAGAACTCTTCGTACTCTCCGGCTAGTAGAAGCGCGTCGGCTGCTGCGTGGGGCCTCGTGCAAGATCGAACGATCGTCATCTGAAAGAATGAAGATTTCTTTGTTCAATCAGTCTGTGCTTGTCTATTTTTTGGTTGAAAATTGGAAGAATTAAACGTTTGGGTGAAGCGTAAGTCACCTCTCGTTAGAAATAATTTATACGCGCCTGCGAATAACTGTTTGTTGTTAAAACTCGAATCATCAGTCGAACATTGCGCAAGTTACTTTTAATGAAAAAAAAAAAAAAAAATGATTTGTATTAATTGGCTTTTAAATCCTGCAAATAATATTTTATATAGATAAAGAATACTTGAATAATTATTCCATTGCATTTTTGCATGTAATATTATACATTTATTATGTTATCCTTATCTCTCATTGACTTTAATAAATTGCTCAATACTGTATGTTCACACACAGAAAGTGATTTAATAGATTTGTCATTGCATCGTAAATAATATTAATTTATCGTCATTAATCAATCATCAATAATATTTATAGTTTTACACTCTCGTAAAATTATCTCAAAATTCCGTCAAATAATTCACGAAGAAATTTAAGGTTTCCTTAAAGCGTTACGTTCTTAAAATTGGTAAATTACCGTACAGTTGTAAATTAATTAGACACTCTTAGTTTGATTGCTAATATTAATATAATAACGCAAACTGTTAACATCGAAACGTATATAAAGATTGAAAGATTCGATCATCTAAAATTTTCTGACTCAGAATACGTGTAAATAATTATAATCAAGGCGACTTTGATATGCAACAGTTTGCACGAATGTCTTTGAAAAATATTTCTGCCTTGGAGAACTGTTTTTTTTAAGCGCGAAACACACCAAGAAACGTGCACCGTTAATGTTATTGCACATAACTGCAACTTAAGTACCGTTTCGTCAATTAGTTCGTTGTAACTAACTCTGTTTCCCATAGTCGTATTCGCGGCCACCGTGGAGATTAATAATACAGAGTTCCAACCGGGTAAGGGCATGGTTCGCGAGACACAATTAACACATTCACAGTCGGCCGCCGCGAGGCTTATCTCCGGTTTTCTTATAAAATCATCGCGGTACTGCAGGAACAGTAATCAAACAACAACATCGTGGTTGCCCCTTGCAACGTTAGGTCAAGTGACGTTAATCGGAGTCAATTCCGACCGCCCGAGAACGAAGCTTCACCGTTCGTTCAACAGATAGGCAACTTGACAAATTCTCGTTACGCTCTTTTATCTAATAAGCTCCCGAAAAGTGAAATTCGTCACAACGTGCTGGTTGCTCGTCGTTGAATAGCATTTCGTTTCCTGTCAAGGTCAACTTTTCCCGCTTTCGTAACAATTTCTCCACCTTGATAACCATCTTGATAAATCGACCAGCCCCCATTTTCAGACGAGATAATGGCCAGATAATTGTCACTCGCAATTTTCGACCAGCGTACGCTTTTACTTTCCTATGTTCATCAAGGAACAATCGTTCTGTCACGGCTATAATCGCTCGATTATCTTCGCTCTTTTTACCTTTTGCTATTTGATTTGATATCTATCGTTATCTCCGTATTTTCGTTATTGTACAGGGTGTCCCGAATTCGACATTTTGTGCTGGCAATTGGTTCGCGGACCATAACGAGTGACCGTATAGAATAATTTGTCGCTTATTTTTCGTGCTTTGAACTCGTCGGCACGATATCATTCAGAGTAATAAACTTATCATTTGCTTTGCCTTTTAAATATACTTAATATTGTTAAATATACTTAATATTCCGTGTAATGGAGTCAACACGCTTACAATTTAGAAGAGTTTATTCCCTTACAGTCGTGGTCGTGTATGAAATAGAATGACATAGAATGATTTACAATGTTTAATGCTCTTGAATATGATGTAGAATGATTTAGAATGTTAATTTATGTTCTTAATGATACAGAATGTCTTTATAATGATTTAGAATGTTTTATGCCGTCGAATATCTCTAAAGCAGTTGGTTATCATTGTCAAGTGGAAGGGGAAGGATCATAGATGACCAACTATTGGATCTTGCCTAACTTATCTTGTCCACTTTTATGTGGACTGTTGCTAGCTCATTATCAGTATTTATATAGATTCAATATTGTTGGTTATCCAACAATGTACTTAATATACGTATATTTGATAATATAATAATATACGTATATTCAAATATACTTAAAATTGAGAAAATGTTGCAATGTTGGGACAAAAAATTTTCGACGTGCGTGGTAAGAAATATTTCGTCGTTTCAGCGCAAGAGGTTAAATGTCAAAACCTCGGAACCTGCGGAAAGTGGAAAATCGATGAACTGAGAAAGAAAATCTCTTGTAGATTTGCTCCATTTCGGAGTGAAAATCGTAGCGAGGAAAGAAAGAAAGAGAAAAGTTATCTCTCGCTTGTTCAGCAAGTTTGCTCGATGCCAATCAACTTGAGAGAGCAACTCTTAAGAAAGATCGAATCATGGTTTTGTCATCGAACGTTGTTAGAACAATCTAATGTCAATCTGGCTGTAATCGGAGTAGTCAACGTTCTATCTGATACTTGCATTGCTAGCGTTGCAAGTTTATCTTCATCAAATGGATGATATAGATGATGTTATATATGTAAATAAATAAACGAGAACATTTCTGGTTCTTCTTTCGTGATTTTTTCCAAAATGGAGCAAAAAAAGAAAAGCGAGAAAATCTCTGGAACATTTTTTCTCTCATTCAAACCTTGTTGCTCGGAATTTCTTCCTGCGCATTCGATTGTCGCAGCAAAGAAAGCCAGGCTTGTTTGTTTCAGTCGCTCAAGTCTTAAGACATAAAATATGACAGTGATTGTTTTGTGTGATTGCGTGTGTGTGTAGTTTAGAGGATAGAGAGCTTAATATCTCTTTGTCATCGTCTAGTTTTCCTAAATTAATAAACTTTATATTTTGAACCACTTGGTTTAAATTATATTTTGTTTTTTTTCTTTTTCCTCCTACGCTCATCGATCCGAAATGTGGATTGAAACTGAAATTCGGCACACCCCTGTAGATTATCGATTCGTCTTGGTTTCAAGAAGAGTGAAAGAACGGTATTAGAATTAATTTCGCCTTTACGACGAGAGAAAAAATTAACGTTCTCCGAGAGTTCTCCAACTGCTGCTTAGAAAAACTCTCGGCAATTCGACAATCTGACCGTGTCAACGACCTAATCCACGAAATCCTCGTGCAACCGTGCACGCGGAGAAGACGACAGTTCCTCAAAGTGGGAGGCTAGCCCCACCATCGTCTTTAGAAAGAGGACGAGCCCGAGAACAGTTTAACACCGGTTGTCGGCCGGTTGACTGCTCCGTCTCTCGAGCCGGTTGCTCGGTAGAGGAAAGACACCGTGTTATCGAAAACTGGCGACAGTCGTTGGAACCGTCAACGTATTTTTGCGTCATGGACTCGTAGCCAGCGCGGAAAAGCGACCTTGAGGCTGGACGTTTCGTGAGTGGTGATTAAAACTCCTCGATCGAGCCAGTCAATTGTCGAGGAAATTGGTAAATTGGTCGCCGAGGAAGTTCTGAGGCAGGCTGGATCGCTCCTTTGAGGCAAACCAGTTTACAATTCCGCGAAATACCGGCGGGATGACAGCGATTCGCGGAATAGCGTCGTGCGTCTGCCTGATAGTGTTCGTTGTTGGCCACGTGGCTGCAGCTGCAGCTCCGCCACACATTGTATTCATCTTGGCCGACGACTTGGTAAGCTGACGTCAATCTTTTTTCGTTCAGTCGATGCTGGAAGGTTTGACAATTCCAAATTGTCACATACGAATTTGTTTTGTGCGTACAAACGAGCTGTTTACACTGATCGACCGATTGAATCAAAGATTGGATACAGTGTAGGGAATACCCAGGCAGTACAAATAATAGACATAATAAATACGACAGAGTCCTCAACGACGTGCACCCTGGACGCAGTACTGTCAAGGCCATGAGGTAATTGTACAAAAAAAAAAAAAAAAAAAACCCTCATGGCCCTGACCGTGCGGACTCTAGTTAAGCAATAAACTTCCAGATCCTTTGCTCTGGAAAAGACACAAAAGGAGTCGAGGGTATATAAGGCCCGACTCCAACGCACAGATTATCATTAACTTTTCCTGCAAGCCTAACCTCACCTCATCATGCAAATAAACCACACAAATATCTACAAACTAATAACATCAATTTTCGTGCAGATTAAAGGGCACTCCAAGCCCAAGGTATTGCAAACAAGACATCCTAACTAATTAAATAAATAAATAAAAAAAAAGAACAGATTATCATTAGTTCTTTTACACCGAGGTCCACGCTACGAAGTAGATATCCACGGTACTGCAAATATTCATTTTTAATAATTAGTGTTTGGATGATAGTACAACCGTTATTGCACAACATTGTAAAATACCCTAGTTGAAATAAAACGTTATATAAAACACTAAATACAGTGAAAAAAAGTCGAATCTACGATCATCATTGTCTTAAAATTCTTCCTCGAGTTTGTGGTTAATTTGTTACTTCAAGGAACACCGCACAGCAAGTCGTTTGAGAAACATTTGGACATTCTCTAATTGAAAAATTGCCAGAAAATGAGAGATCAATCAGTTCGGCTCCTAAGAACATTATATCAATGCGTAACAGTATGTTTGAACTGTTAACTGTCAAAAGTCATTTGTCAAACCATCTCAGCGATCAGATCAGACGTGCCTCAGTTTCAATTAACACGGCTTGAATAGATATCAGCGCTCTGATGTCTATCGATATCGAGTATCGTTCGAGTAACTCGATGATTATCCTAATTAACGCGCCTAATCGAGCCCGTTGAACAGGGATGGAACGACGTGGGATTTCACGGCTCGGGACAGATCCCGACGCCGAATATCGACGCCCTGGCGTACTCGGGGTTGCTGTTGGACTGGTATTACGTCACGCCGATTTGCACACCGTCCAGGAGCGCTCTGATGACCGGCAAGCATCCAATTCACACAGGAATGCAGCACGGGGTACGCTGCACCGTCATTAACTATTTAAGCGCGCAATCGGCTTGGTAAATAAAACGACGTTGCTATTAAGGAGGACTTAACAGGCGCAAGCATTAATTCGGCCGTGGTTCGTTGCGCTCCGACAATGCTAGTTACGTTCTATAGGGAGATTAAAACACATTGTGCCGCTGCGATTCATTGAGCCGGAACTGCTTTTCATAACAGCGAATTTAGGTCAGTTGGAATTCACCACTGTTTCTTTTCTTTTTTTTCTTCTTTCTTCTTTTCAAATGATTCGCGCAAGACCTGAAAGGCCAGAAGACAAATTGATCAATCTCGTTGAGTATAATTGTTTAACCTCTCGGGGAGAATCGCGTCGTTTGAGTCAATGCTTGTTAGTTCACTTAGCTATTCTGGTTAAATGAACTGTTGCTAGTTGAATCCACTTATTTGAACCTGAACTGCCACTGTATATGAACGAAAAGCTAACAAGAGGGGAGGATCAGTGAACTCCCACTGTTATATGAACTTCAATTTGTAACATAAAATGCAAACTATTTGTCCTTTGACGAGTTCATACAAATCGACAGTCGCTAGTGTAAAAATATTAGAGAGAGATGTCTGTCATAATTTAGTAAGATTATGGATACCCTTTTAGAAAGCAGAGTTGATCATTCTGGCTTCTCACGCGACTCAATTTGTAATTACAAATTATACCGGCGTGTTTCTTCGCGCATCTTCTTGCACCCACATTCCATCTGACCTCTTCCTCACATCGCGTCCGTTGAATTCGTTGCTTACGGCGAAAGTGTAGCTGACCTTTAACTATCGCGGGAACTTCGCGGCATTGGTATTTCGACGAGGCGACATTCAAATTTTTACCAGTAAAAACTGTGGAATTTAATTAACGCCACGCGGCGTGAAACTAGGTTCTAAAGTGCGCCGAGCCGAGAGGGCTACCTCTTCACGAGAAACTTCTGCCGGAATATCTTCGAGAACTCGGATACAGCACGCACATCGTGGGCAAGTGGCATCTGGGATTCTACACGAAAGAGTACACGCCAACGTACAGGGGATTCGACTCGCACCTCGGCCTCTGGAGCGGCCACCATGATTACTTTGATCATAGCGCCGTGGAAAGCGTAAGCATTTCATTTAATTTTGAGGGGCTACGTACCTTTGAAAAGTGGAAATTTTGCGTCGAATAAGGGAAATTTAAGAATTCTTTTCGGACATGAAATTGTAGATCGTTGCAAATATAATACAATTAGTACAACATGTTCAAAAGTTTGGACTAAATGTAGGAAGATGAGATAAAGAACATGGCAGTCATTTTTTATAGTTTTATCTAAAGCAAGTTTCTTTTTCTAACTTTGCTAGATGTAATAATATTGAGAATATTGTCACAAATTTTTATCCAAATTGATTTCGTGGTCTTTCAGATATTTCTGTTTTTATTGTCTGTTGTCATTAGATGAGAAACTTTCTGAATTAATTATTTTCTAGAATAAGAGTATTCTAGAAGAATCACGATAACAGAACATACAGTTTCTGAAAAATCGATCTTTTTCGACTTTCGTCAAAGGTTTCGCAATCCTTTAAATCTACCTAACTCTTCAGCAACTGCGAAAGAAATACTAGCAATCCTCCAATTCGAAATTAAAACGTAGCCATATTGGGGACTGGACATGAGGAGGGGACTGGACCCAGCCTGGGATCTCCACGGTCAATATTCGACGGACGTTTTCACGAAGGAGGCAGTGAGACTGATTGACAATCACAACACCAGCCGTCCAATGTTCCTCTATCTAGCTCACGCGGCCGTGCACTCCGGTAATCCTTACAACCCTCTGCCAGCGCCTGACCAAGATGTCTCCAAGTTCACCACTATCTTCAACTACGACCGTAGACGATTCGCTGGTTCGTGAAAATTACGTTGATTTGGACTACTTTGATCTGTTCGTTGTCAACGAGTTCGTTTCAGGTATGCTGAGCAAGCTGGACGAGTCGGTTGGCCACGTGGTCGAGGCGCTTCGCAAGAGGGGGATGTTGAAGAACAGCATAATCGTGTTCTCCACGGATAATGGCGGGCCACCGGCCGGTTTCAATCTAAACGCCGCTTCGAATTGGCCACTGAGGGGCACAAAACACACTCTCTGGGAAGGTACCACTAAAAAAAAAAAAAAAAGAAAAAGAAAAAATAATAATACGCTCACCTGGTGCAAGACTCGGCAACTTAGAAAAAAAGAGGAGCAAAATGAAGATGAATTTGTCTTTGTCTAGGAGGCGTTAGGGGAGCCGGTTTGATATGGTCGCCGAGATTAGTGCGACCTGGCAGAGTCAGTAGACAATTGTTGCACATCAGCGACTGGTTACCAACGCTGGTAACAGCTGCCGGTGGAAATCCGTCCAACTTGAGCATCGACGGCTTGGATTTGTGGTACGCGTTGAGCGAGGACACCGAGTCGCCTCGAAAAATGGTTCTTCACAATATAGATGACATTTTCGGCGTGGCAGGGATCACGTACGGAGACTGGAAATACATTCAGGGTAAAAAGTAATCGTATCTCTGCCATTGATTGGGCAATTGGGATCTGTCATACATAGTAGCGTGTCAAAGTTTCCGGCCGGCTGTTTCATTTTGATGCAAGGAAATTTTCACCAATACCAAGGACGTAAAACGTAAAATGAAACCACTCAGCTGCGTTCTTTCCATCATTATTTTTAATCTTCAAAAATATCTCAAGTTTGAACAAACTATAAGAAAATTTTTCTCTGTTAAATGTATTCTAGAGGCGTTACAAATTCGTTTGATTTTCCTTAAAATGAAAGTAAAATTCGAGTGTAGAAATGGAACGTAACTTGGGAAGATTTCTCTGTCGAGCATCTTCTTCAGACATTACAAATTCGTTTTTCTTCAAATTCAAGTGGAAAAAGCTTGAGAAACGAGCGGAATACAAAAGAAAACGCGACAAATGGAATACAAAATATACGTGTGACTGGAGGGATTGACGCACTATCGTTTGTAAATCCCTTTTCTGAATTTCATTCGGGTTGTTTCTATTTAGTTATAATATCCTGTGGTTTTCAAGGGTCCACTTATAACGGGCAATGGGACGGTTGGTACGGTCCATCCGGAAGGGAATGGGTCTACGACGTCGGAGGCGTGATTGGTAGCACGGTTGGTCGAGCAGTGGCTAGCATAGGCCTGTCTCTCTCCGCAGACAGTATTCGCGCCCTTCGAGAGGATGCCATGATCAAGTGTCCTCCGAGGAATGACAGTTTACCACTGTGCAGACCGCTGCAGGCGCCTTGTCTGTTCAATGTTCGAGAGGATCCTTGCGAGGATAATAATCTGATAAACAAGTGAGTGAAATGATTTTTACATGCTGTCTCGCTTAGCATTTCTAGCATTCCTTTTTTTCGTTTGTCTGACGAGAAATATTGTTTATTCGTTCGAAGGTATCCTTCGCTCGCGTCCGAGCTACGAGAGAGGTTGCGCAAGTTAAACGCCACCGCGATACTACCGGGAAATCTTCCGTGGGACAGCAGAGCAAATCCAGACTATTGGGACCACACGTGGACTAATTTCGGCGACTATTTGAACGTATTCGCGAATAATGTCAGCTGATGTGGACGCAAACAGAAGGAAGAGACGAGACAAAGGAGCAAAGTTTATTAGAGTACGTTGGTATCTTTGCACACGTCTTTGTACACGCAGGACTGCGAGGAAAAGAATCTTTATTAAACGTGTTGACTTTCTCTTGTCCTTCACTTTCGTTTTGTTCTGAATCATCATCTTTCTAGCAAAGCATGTCCGCCAAAGATTTTCTCTCGTCTCTCGCTCACTCGTTCATCTTTACAAATCACAGATTTACAGTTAAAATAACTGGCGCCGAATTATAAACAGTATCCTCGTTTATTTCCTTAATCTATACACTTCGATCTTGTTGGGCCACAGTTCTATGCGTACCAAGTGCGTACAAAACCATGGGAAACCAAATGGAGAAAGAAAGTTTGCCCGAGATGAGAACGGGGCGCCCTCGTGTCGGCTAGAATGTCAGAATAGGACCTTCTCGATGATCAAGAATATCTGTAAAAATCACGCATATTAACGCGATTAATCTCTTATTGCTAGTCATTTGTCTGACTGCTGGCCATAAGTATTGACGCATCTGGTTGCAAGTTGAAACTGACTTTTTTTATTTATTTAAATTTATCATTTTATATGTAAAATACTAAAAAAAAAAAAAATTCATTGGAAATTTATTTTAATAAATTTCGCGTTTAAAAAACAATTCATTAGAAATATAATGTAATAAAATTCACTCATTTTAATAAAGTAAACGTTCTAACACTTATGGATGGCAATGTACGATAAACGTTTAGTGACGTACCTTTGGCAATGCTCCACCAAGGCAGGGTAATATAAGTAAGAAACGCGTTCAAAGGTACGGATTGGGCCCGCCTGGTCTCCTTCCAGAAGTGAAAGGTCTGCGTGAATCCTCGCATCGTCCATAGCGGGTTGTAAGCGCCGTCGTCCAGCTCTGCCGACACACAGAGAAACGAGTCGATTATTAACCAATAATCCCGGATATCAAACATGATCGAAGGCTCGACCTACTCGATTGAGATCCTGGAATGATTCGTGTCGATAAATTAAATGGAAGCAACTGCAGGGAGTAAATCTGATTCGCAGAGGTGAGGTGAGCTCAAGAGGGATGAAAAGGATCGGACATCGTGGCAAAGTTGCTGCTCGAAAATTCGTAAGGTCGGATGGTTGGTGTGATTGTTCGCAAGAGCACGAAGATATGTAGAGGTGTTGACAATGAATGCACATCAGCTACAGGTGCGCAGAATAAATAAAACACGAGCTGGAAACGCAGCGCACTAGCTTCCTCTTTCTGCGCACAACGTTCGGCGTATTTTACTTTCTCGTTCTTGATTCGTTAATTTTATTTCTTTTCGCATTACTCGTCAATTCTTATTTTTTTTCCTTTCTTTCGTATTTGTTCGTCGAATAGATCTGTTTGTCGTTAAAATATATGTCGTTCACGCGCTATTGAAGAAAGACGAGAGCAGAAAGAAGAGGCTGGATCGTTGACGAACAGATCGGATTCTACGATTTCTATCTCGATTCTCTATCGATGTCAGTGGATGCTTGTTCCTCATCGTAGATGACTATGTTTATACCGGTGGTGAAACTCGCGTTAACGAGAACCGAGGCCGCTATTCATTCGCGTCAAACGCCTCGAGACGTTCCGAGCCGTGAACCGCCGTATGAATTACTGTCAGAAACCACCACCAGCACTATCGAACACCGTCACGACTGTCCCAAATAATAATTCGTCGTTCGACCAATCGTAGTCTTTTGATCGCACCCCCGTTGCCATTGTTATTTCACCATCCTCATAAACACAGTCATTTGCCGAGCATGGTTTCTTTTTTTTTTTTTATCTTATCTCAAGTTTTATCTTCCTAACGAAGGAATGTATGAATGTAGAAGAACATGGGTTGAATACAATGGACAACACGACTGCCTTTTGGTGTTGCACGAGCTGCTCGATGAACGACCGTTATCCGCTGCCGCGTGAAATTGTAGAATTTCACTTGTCAACCACGAGCTTACAATTTTCTTTTGCAGAGAATTTGCATTGAATTTGAAAACCCTTGAAAATTCGTGTTGCGTTCGTCTTCTGGTTATTCACCGACTCGTTTATAAATTAACCATCTCTAAATAAAAGTAGTCTACCAATTTCCAACGAAAATTGAATTATTCTTTGAACAATAGGTCTACCGCTTTCTAACAAAGATTTAGTCTCAACTAATTCTTACCTCAGCGTGCTTAAGACGAAAAATGTCAAACTCAACTACCACCTAAAAGAAACAAAGCAAAACTCATTTCTACGTATATATATACGTATGTACCGTACCCCGACGTACCGTATTTTTCTGTTTTTCTTCCTACGAGAAGGAGAACGGTCATTCACAGGACAGACGCGACGGAATTGTACGCGTTGGGCGCGTGATCGGTTGGCTATATGTGGGTGTAGAGGTGTGTTGGGCAGTGGGGGTGTTTGGGGTGGTTGGACAGGAAGGGGGAAGAAGAATTTACCCTGTGAGCCGGGGCGGCGCGGGAGCTCGCACCAATAGTAGATGGCTGTGCCGTCTGGTGTGACTCGATGCGGCGGAAGTGGATTGCCCGCGAAGCTGCCGGACAACGCTCGTCTTCGCCTCCTTCTGGGCAGGGTGGCGCTCTGTCTGTGCGTGGTCAGGTTACCTCGCGTAATACGGGCGTTCGCGTTTTTATCTTTCATCTGCTCGTCGTTTTTGTTCTTGTTACGGCCGGTGTAGTACTCCTCGTGATCGGAGCCAGCCGAGCGTAGACGCCGGCGACCATCAGTCCGACGTACCCTGACCAATTCGTCATCGCTGAGCCGCCGGTGATCCTCGTCGTTCTCCAGATTGTTGATCCGCTCGTGATTGATCTGTCCGGTGCTGTACGGCCTTCGTTTCCGGTTATTGTCCTCCTCCTCCTCCTCGTATCCCAACGGCAGTTCCTCCTTGCCGTGCACCAGAATCGCGCCGGCGTCCAGCTTCTGTCTCACGTTGTCGTCGGTCAAGCAAGCCGCCGCCGGCACGAGTATCTCGCTACCCACTTCGATATGGTTGTGCTGGTGGTTCTGGAGGCCTGCCACCACAGACAAGTTCGTTTTCCACATTGTGCGCGCGCTCGTGACGCGTTTTTCTTACGACTATATCGCCCCTTCGTCTCTGTCGTCTATTGGAACGAACGTTGAACGCGCGAGCACGCGGAGGTCGCGTTGATTTCGCGAGAGAGAGAGAGAGAGAGAGAGAGAACGCGAGAGACGAAGAACGACGACAATTCGTTTCGAACACGCAAGGAGCGCGCGCTCACCGTGTGTTTCGTGATAGGCCTCCTTGCGATTCGGCGAGTTCTCATTTTCGGTACGTTCCCACGAGTTACGTAGCTTTTGCTTGGGACGTGCTTGCTGCCTGCCGGGATGAAGAGGGGATCTTCGCCGCCTGACTTGAGGACTCTTGTGATTTCCTGGTGAGCCCCGGCCGCCCCAGCTGCTATCCTGTAGGTCGGCTACAAAGGAAAGAGCCGGAATGGCACGTGACACAGATTAGAGACAAGGTATTTCTTTATCTTTTTTTTTGTTTGTTTTTTTTTTTTTTTTTTTTTTTTTTTTTTTTTTTTTTTTTTTTGTTTCACAGTTTCGTTCTTTCAATCTCGATTCGTTTTTTATTTTATTTCATTTCATTTTTTTCTTTAATCTTTTTTTTTTTGTTTTTGGTATCTTTATTGGTTCTATTTTGTTTGAACGTTTCAACTGGTTCGAACTCCACTTTCGTGACTAGCGTACGAGATATTCGCGCATGGTGGTGTTGGTGGTGGTGCTCTACACAGCCGTTTCATTCCCACGTATTTTATCTCCGTTCGTTTCTCCGAACGATCGTCGTCGCAAAACGTAACGAAACACTGCGTCTCGTGGCACTAGGTGGGCGTCTGAGGGAATACAAGAGCACCGATCAACCAGGTTCTTCCAAACCGATCTCGAGCTTCGCGTCTCGGCGGCGACGAAAAAAAAAAAAAAAAAAAAGAAAAAAAAAAAAGAAAGTAAGTAAGTAAGAAATCAGGGGGATGAAAGTGCCTCAGACGTCGCGTACACGGTCACGAACGAACATCTTTCATACAAGTAATAACCAATGTTATGAATGAATGCTCCAAGCTAAAGAAAATTGCCGTTCACAAGAGTGGGAGCACATGCAACTCTCGCGGCTCGATCGCACAAGTTGTTGAAACCAAATGCGAAGACTTGAACGCGGCGCGAATGGGAACGAAAGTCAAACGCCCGAACGAAATCCCTGGAAAAGTAATCGTGAATCGATGTGCAGAATACACAGACACGTAACACAAAGAGGCATGCACAAGTCGAGAAAGTCTGAAGAACGCAGGCAGTGAGAAACAGAGAGAAGGCGAAGATAAAAGTACACAGCGTGTGCTCATCTGCGTCCGTTCCCTCTTCGTCGAACTTCGACGGGAATCACCATACGTCACGGGTGTGTGTATAACAGTTTCTAGTTACCGTCTCGGACGTCCCCGGCTTCGATTTCGCTCAGTCCGTTCGCCATCGAGTCCAGACCCTCGTTCTCCGACCTGGCCTTCGTCGCAGCCGTGTCCGGTTTCGTTCTCCAGCCACCGCGGACGAAATTGTTCAGATTGGCGCTCGGGTCGGACAGCCTTCGTTGATGACGATACATGAATAACTCTTCGGCGTCGTCCCAGTCGGCGTCCCACAGGGAATCCGTGGCGCAGTAGCCAGGCTCCGAGGTCGGTGTCTCCGCGCCTGAGCCCTTCGGCTTCGTCACAGCCATTTCCGCGTGTCCTTTGCCTGAAAATCGACGACGAACGCGTTCGAGTGAACAGAACGGGATGGAAGCGAGTAATCGATCGAGGGGTTTGATGATGTTTGATAATACGAACATGTTATGGCTTCTGTAACCCGTATAACTCGTACATTCATTAACGCTAATAATGCACGTTTGTTCGATCGATGTTTTTCAACCATTCATTTCCATCTTTTAAACGCACATTACTTGGTATCTCTTTATAAGTTTTCACTCTCATACCTCGTTTCATTTAAAATTTTTATAATTGCGTCGCTTTCTATACTAATGGGTATTTCTTTACCCGTGAGAAATGAGTAAATAAATAAATGATCGTACCGCGAGGTCCTTTCATTCGAACGAATTCTATTCGCTGGGAGGCCGCGCCGGAAAACAGGCCAAAGGTCATGCGTTGTGCCATCTTGGTACTCAGACTCGACTGAAAGCGAAGGTAAAGACATTAAAAAAAGTAGCGCCGGGGCGACCGGGAGTTCGTTAACGAAACGTACTCTCGCGTCGTACACTTTCTTCAAAGCGTCGTATCTGATAGACCCGAGGAAAATGACGCCTTGAATGGCGCCCTCCCTGTCGGACGCGACCAATTCCACGCACACCATCTCCCCATCCCTGACTAAAATATCACAGAAAACTTCGTCGAAATTGTCCACCATGAAGCATATGTGCGGGTACGTCATCTCTTCGAGATCACCCTTGGCGTCCATCCGCCGCCGGCTCGGGCTTGCGTAAACCTTCTGCGAGTGTCTCCGCAATACCTGAAACATTTGTTCATTAGTTGGTGTACACGCTCGATACACGATTCCAGTTTCGTACGATGGACCAACTCTTACGGAGGGGGGACAAGTTTATTGCGACAATGAACTGCACGAAGTTTTATCAACTTGTTTCCTTCTTCCTCTTCTGTTTACTCAATTATTTATTGAATGATATTTACACGACTGCCCGGTTAACTTCCTAGCTGCGAATGGCAAATTTTTGTGTAACGACGAGTATACTGATCGTTTTTTTCAAATTTAATAAACATTGCCATCTAGTGACAATAGTTCAACTTGTTATATTCTAGTTAAATATATTGACATTCAGTGTGCTTATTGTTAAATTATATTATGCATTGAAACTATATTAACATTCAAATAAAATAAAATTTGTACAATATCAGAAAACGACATTACTCATTGGTATCCCTAATAATTGCTATTTGTTACTTAAATTAAATTAAGTTTTTTGTGGGAAATAAAACATTTGTAAATCTTAGACATTTTGAGACTAGACTTGACTAGTTCGTTTTACATCATTTCAAAATATTTCCTTGCTATTAATATTAATTAATTGATTAATATCATTTAAACGGAACAATAAAATTATTAAGTTTTCAAAAAAAGAAAAAAAACTAGTGTCATTTCCTTTTAATTTAATTCAATTACAGCAGCTGCACATACTCTGTGTTTGACGAGTATAATCGTCTTTCTAGCGACATAATAAATACACATTTTTAAAAGTGGCATCAGCCAAGAAGTTAACGAAATTTTTACGATGAGATTTCTACGTTACTGGATAGCACCGAATATTTTATAAGAATTTGCTAACTAATATTAGCCAATCATTTTCAAGTATTAATTGTCTCAGCTCTGTTCGATCGTGAGTTCTGTTTCTGAAAAAACAGGCTCGCGGATCAGCGACCGAGATGTCTGTCCAAGGACAATAACATCGTTAGAGCGCTAAACGTTAAATGTTTAGGATTTTTTGTCAGCAAGCCATAAATGTTCAAAAATAAACAAGTGAGTTTCTCTGCGCTGACGAGGAATCCTAAAGCCATCTTTTTGCCAGATTATACGAATGAAATTAGCGAATTGAATCGCTGACAGTTAGAAAGTTAGAAAGTTATGAAGAGAAGATGGGACTTTTCTCGCGATTTTTCTCGGCAAACTTTGAACCTTCAAGCATCGTTCGACGTCGTGGTTCTTCAAAACTTTAGAAACTTTTTGATAAAAGAGGAGCACCTTAATAACAGAAGAAAGTTGATAATAACTCGTAAATTAAAACTAACGATCGGAGCTCAGTTGGAGAAGCGGGGAATAGCGAGGAATACGACTCACTTGCAATTCCTTGGGGCTCGTCCTTGTGCAGATCGCTAATGTTAGCGTGTAGTCGAACTGATGTACGACCAGGTTCAGGTACACGGTTTCTTCCCAATCGATGTCGGGATCGCCGATCGGTAGTTTCTTGCTGTCCTTCCGGAACACGTCCACCTCCGTCTCGAATTTTGGCAAGTACCTCGACGACGTTTTCACGTGTTTCTTGCGCACGAAGAAAAGTAGATCGTCGCCGTCGATCGTGTGCTCCGCCTGGAAGAGGAAGTGCCTGACAAACAGGTCCGTCCAATAGGTTGTACCTTGAAGTATCACGAAGCCCGAGTCTGCAGGAACATAGACAAGAAATTTCGTTAAATCAACACCTCGAATCGTTTGCCTACGCTCTGACGATCCTGAGAGATCGTCTGACTTTTCCCCCAATAAATCTTTCATTTTCTTCACTAGTTGTATACAACAAATGCAGAAAAGAAAAATTCTCAATAGTAAGAAATTTCGTCAAATTCACCTCTCGAATCGTTAACCTACGCTCTGACGATCCTGAGAGATCGCCTGATTTTTTCCCCCAATAAATCTTTCATTTTCTTCACTAGTTGTATATAACAAATGCAGGTTATATATAACAAATGCAGAAAAGAAAAATTCTCAGTAGTAAGAAATTTCGTCAAATTCACCTTTCGAATCGTTAACCTACGCTCTGATCATCCTGATAGATCGTTAAAAATTTTTTTACTCCGTGACACGCCTGATTTTTTTTTCCCCCCAATAAATCTTTCATTTTCTTCGCTTGTTACATATAATAACAAATGCAGAAAAGAAAAATTCTCAATGGTAACATTAATTGAATGTTTAAAATTTTAAACGTTCTATTTTATCTAAACGTATCTCGATTTATATAATCGATGCTCTAGATTGGAAGACAGATCGGTTCGAAGTTGTTCGCGAGGGAGCAGCGAGACGAAACAATCCTTGATAGCAGAGCAGGAACGAATCTCGATGGAGGCAATCGATAATCGATAAGAATGTTCCGCGAAGACTTAATTGCATCTCCTCCACTGGCAGCTTGACATCTTACCCTATCTCCTTTATTAAAGCTGCACGTGCTTTCATGAAAAATGCGGATGAAAGTTGGCCTTTTCACGATCGTCGGACGAGGCTGAAATAGCTCGCGATTCTACGTAAATAGTTCATGTAACGACACTGAAACGGGTGTCGATATCGAGTATTTAATTAATTACGTTCGCTTACGTGTCACGCGAAATGTCTTTCCTGCTTTTGAAAAACGAGAGACAATTATTTCGCAATCGGATGCCTGTTGTTACAAGCGAACGGAGTCATACTCGCGGCGTGCATCTAATTGCTTGTTGACACCGCGTCACGTCATCTTGCATTTATAGAACGAAACGAATTTGCAATAATCGTTCGTACGAGCGTGCAACTTTCGCACGGCTGACTCGTGCAGCTTGAAATCGTCGACTCCTCGACAAACAATGGGCGACGAAAACAAAGAACGCACAACGCGACGTGACAGGACGTTCGTACGAGTCAAAAGAAAATCGCTGACCTGAAAAATAAAAGAAATAAAAAAAAAAGAAAAAAAAGAAAAAGAAATGATCTCAAATGGATTGCAGACGTTGCAACGAATTTCGTTTGTTTCGAAGTGCATGTTCCGGTGGGAACGACGGTCTCCGACCTCGTAACACCATAATTATAAAAATGCAAATTTATTTAAATTTATTCTTCCCTAACGCCTACGACGAGTCTAAATATTACTCCGCGTAACACCGTAAACGACAGATGCAAATTTCTGAAAATAGGCTTGCAAGAACGTAGCCAGGTAGCAACGAAACAGGTCGTTTTTTCCCTCGCGCGCTCATCGATCGTGGAATCACCCTCGTTTGGCAGTGTCTGCCAAACAAAGGGGAACCGGTTACACTCTAGGAACACACCCGTCGCGTGTGCACTCGCTCGCTATCCCCAACGTTACCTCCCTAAACATCGAAACGAGACGCTAGTCTGAAACGACTAACTGGGTTACGAACCGTCTTTGAGCATCTGCCTGAGCTCCTTGGTCCTCTGGAAGTTGATCTCTTCGAGAAGCTGCTCGAGCATGGTCGGTGGCCTGGTGAGGCCCGACGACGAGCTGCTCGCCAGGGTAGCCATGCCCAGCCCTCTCGTGGTTCACGCGACGCGATTCCTCCTCGCGATTCCAGCTGTGTGCTCGCCACGATCACAACGTCACAGCGGATCTGCACACACCGTGTCGTGTCGCGACGCGCGCGTTTCGTCGAATCACGGCTGGCCGAGGGACGCGGACACGTACGAGCCGTAGCAAACGATAGAGGTCATCGTGAACCGGCTACTACGATCGGCATCGCGTCGCTTCTTCTTCTTATATCCGCGCTTCTCGCCGACCAGTCGCCGAGGATGCCATTGCCGGCGAGCGCTTTTATCTCTCCTGCCCTGAGAGGAGCGAGTGTCGCACGTAAAACAGAAGACTCGTGTTGACTCGCGTAGCCGAGCTGTGTGTGCTGCTGCGCTGGCCGCTTCGCTGCACACGCTCGACGTTTACGGTTCTACGGGATAGACGAACAGACGAACGGAGCCCGATGACTCGCGACTCTCGCGACTCTCTGACTCAATGGAATCGATAATCTCGCGCATGCGAGACGCGGCTACGCTTCGCTCGCGCCAGCGTCGCGCTCCTTTCGAATACACTTTCTTTCAACGCCGCGTTGATCGCACATTTGTATCTGGGTGACAGTCAAGTTTGTCCATTGGGCGACGATCTGATTTGATAAATCTTGAGGCAAAGTATATTTAGTAAATAATGCTTAGTGGAGAAATGAGTTTTTAGTAGTAAATTTGTCGTATCGACAAGTGAAATTCGATGTCAAATAATATCGATGTGATGATAATAATGTAGTCAATTTTTGAATTATTTTGAAGTCATAATTGTGTTATTTATATAAAAATATATGATTCTATGATAGTTATTTGTGACGTATTGCGAAACATTATGAGTTTTAGGAACCTCGTTGCGAATTCTTTAAATTTCCAGTTTTCATTGGACGACGATCTGATTTTTAAATCTTGAGGCAAAGTATACTTAGTAGAGAATAATGCTTAGTAGAGAAATGAGTTTTTAGTAGTAAATTTGTCGTATCGACAAGTGAAATTCGATGTCAAATAATATCGTTGTGATGATAATAATGTAATGTAATCAATTTTTGAATTATTTTGAAGTCATAATTACGTTATTTATATAAAAATACATAATACTATAATAGTTATTTGTGACGTAGGTATTTATATGTTATAGTATATCTAGATTATATAGTATAGTATGTTTAGTAGATATTTAGAATATTTAGTAAATAATGCTTAGTGGAGAAATGAGTTTTTAGTAGTAAATTTGTCGTATCGACAAGTGAAATTCGATGTCAAATAATATCGATGTGATGATAATAATGTAGTCAATTTTTACATTATTTTGAAGTTATACTTACGTTATTTATATAAAGATACATAATACTATGATAGTTATTTGTGACGTATTGCGAAACATTATGGGTTTTAGGAACCTGGTTGCGAATTTTTTAAATTTCCAGTTTTCATTGGACGACGATCTAATTTTTAAATCTTGAGGCAAAGAATATTTAGTAAATAATCCTTAGTAGAGAAATGAGTTTTTAGTAGTAAATTTTCGTATCAATAAATGAAATTCGATATCAAATAATATCGATGTGATGATAATAATGTAGTCAATTTTTACATTATTTTGAAGTCATAATAGTTATTTGTGACGTATTGCGAAACATTATGGATTTTAGGAACCTCGTTGCGAATTCTCTAAATTTCCAGTCTACATTTGAGGGATGCAAAGAAAGGTGTAAGAACTTCTAATTTGACAAGCTGACACTGAAGCACTTACATGTCATAAACATTAAGAAAAGCAATAAAAAACAGAAACAATAGGATGCCTAAGGGTTCGTGGCCCCGCAAGAAACCTTGATTTGCGCTCGGCGATCAACTCGAGGAGAGAAATCTTCGGGCAGATTCGTTTCGCGATCATTGCTCGTATCTTTTTCTTCGCGCTTTTGCAACTTTGAACCTTTCAAAAAACGCTTCCGCAAGAGGACCACTTCCAAATTCTTCGTTCGACAATCGGTGCTTCCGTTAATTTAACACTCGTTTTCGTTTGGTTTGCTTTAACCCTTTGTAGCCTGCTGATACAATCTATCAAAGACTTCACTTTCAACCGCGGACACGCATCACCTCGTATCCGATTGACCGTCGCTTGTCGATTGTTAACAATTTCGAGAAATTGAAATTTAGAAATAACACGATTCGTCTGCGAAAGGTGAAACGTTTTAGCCTGAATTAAATGGCGAATACCTAAGAACAGTTATCCTGGCTGCAATTTCAAGCGAGATTAATTTCGATATTTTAGGGGGGAAGCAAAATATCTACGAATGCGGACGTGGGTGACTATGTGGTACGCGTTATCTGAAAGCTGCTTCCAGTGAGATACGGCGACCCAAAATTGACCTCGTGACTCCAGATAACGACTGGCGTCCTCCGATCCAATGCGCTGCATACGTGGCTCCTTAGCGAAGAACGAGATTCGTCGAGTATCGACCGTTTCGCTTCGAATGTCGATTAATTTCGGAAACATTTACGACGATAGTTATTGCCGCGTGGCGTTCACAGTTCAAGGTAAAGGACGTGCTCCTTTTACTTCTAGGAAACACGTGTTTCATTAACTGAAACAATTACCTATCTACGAAGACCAGTCAATTACGCTATTTATGAAGATTGGCTATATCACAGTACTTTTAAGTTTATCGAAGTATTGGTTCTTTAATAAAATAAAAAAACAAAAAAATATACGTATGTTTTATTTTTATACGAGTGGGTAGACGTTTTAGTAGGAACATGATGATCTATAGTAGTTAAATACAATATGTTCTACAGTAATGTTTCTCTCTTATGCGTTTCGTTCAGCGGATCATTGGAATGATTGAGCTACGAAATGCAACGCAACGCATTTGCAGTCGTTGACACGAGTTTAAATGAAACGAGAAGCAAGCCACCGAAGTCTTGAAAAGATCGGCTTCAGCACGGACAGCAGAGCTTCCGCAGAGCAGACATTTTCCAAATCACCGCCGCTAACTTTCCTGATCCGCGATACAGACCGTCCGGTTCGTCATCTCGTTTAGTCGTGCCCGATCGTTCTCTCGTCTTGCTTAACATCTCCGGCTGCTCCGCCGTATACATATATTCGCGAGAAATTTCCATTCTTTTCTGCTTCTTGTGCCTGCCCGTTGGAGAAAGGAAATCGCGTAACCGTGAAAATCGGGAAATCATCGACATGTGCAGTTTCGTAGCAGGTGCGTGTGTTACTTCACGATTTCTCCCAATTTTCGTTTTTTTAATAAAACTGAAACCGAATCCATCGGTGTCAACGAATTAACTCTAAACCCAAAATAAGTTACTCTCGAGAATTTTTTTAAAATTTTCGAGTTTTTAGAAAATTTAAAGAAAGGGTGGAACGATTTCGTCACGAAACGCACGCTTGATCTCTCGATCGAAACATCGTCGAGTAATCGTCTGTCAGTGAAATGTGAGTCACGATTCGAATTTGGCCGTGAACGAAACACCCCGAAGCGCGTGAAAGGGCGAAAGCCTCGTAAAAGAAGCTGCTGGGTCTGTGGTTCTGTGCCGACATTTCGATCGTTCTAATTTCCTGCAACGTACGCAACGTCAGTTCAATTCATGGCCGCGATCTTCCACGGTGCCTCGTATTTTCGTGGAATTGTGCAATCGCGTATACGGGGGGGGGGGAGGGAGTGGTTCTCTTTATTGTGCTCGTAATTTCTGCGAAGCGTTCTGCGAGGTTCCTGGGCTCGATCCAATAACTCGATCGAATTCGACGAGATTTTTGATCGATATAGAAGTTCGTCTCGGCGATAAGTAGAGAAATTTTCTGAGCGCAAAATAGAACGTGACGAGACTATGCAATCTCGCGAAAATTTCCTCCTTCCCCCGAGCAAGAAGTACTAGGCAAATCGTGGACGATTGCTTCACTTGAACATGAAATTTATTATACAGTAACTATTACGTGAGTATTGTCCCACGCATTCTTGCAGCTTCAAATTCCACTGCAGGTAGAATTCTTTATTTTCATTTCTTTGGTCGTGTATTCGTGAAAATTTGTTGGAACCTTGTGACTTTTCATTTTAATACCAATGTGAGGCGACAGCCCTCACGTAGTCGCCTGCTTATCTCTCTACAGGTCAGCTATATTTGCCGCATGACGAAAACACGAGTGGTTTGCGTAATCGTAAATTTCTACTAAACAAAATCCGTAATCGTTTCGCGAGTTTTCGAAAATCGCTGCCCCATTTTCGCGTCGTTTCGCGATACGTAGCCTCGCGACCATTATTATTTTTAATTGTACACGGGCGTCACGTGAGTCACGACGAGGTCAGCCAGCAATGGCCAACGAGAGTTCGTCGGCGTCGTTACGCGCGGAACATTTTCTTTTCACGGTTCGTACGGCGACGCTGAAACGCGAAATTCACAAACGATTTCTTCATTTCCGCGATTCGTCGTTAATTTCGATGAAACCACGCTAGCAAAAGTGGAAAGTAACATTCCCTCTCTATGATCGTTGTAACGTTGATCGATAATACTCTACACGCAAAAATTCAAGAAACGTTTCGTATTTTTCAAGTAAAAAGTTACGAAAGATAACGACGGAGATAAAAGAAGTATTTAAGTTTCATAATTTAACTTGCCAACTAATAATTAGCCCTCTTTAAAGGCCGATATCGTGCTTGCTTTTCTGCTCTAACTATTGTAACTTGGGTATAATCGTTCATAAGTGTTTCGACACTTTTAGTCCTATCTACTTTACTGCTACTTTATATTCAACATTCAATATTCTACTTTATATTCAAACATGAGTACAAATTGAAAAAAAGAACAGTAATAATCCATTTTATATAAGTACTTACATATAAAGATGACTCAGTTTTTATATTTATATTTACATATAATCCTAAGAATAAATTTTCTATCAGAGAAAACATAGTGTTATAGTAATAAGACACTTTATATATAAAGAATGAATCAATGTGCCATCTTCTTATATTTAAGTCTGAGTACAAATTTCCTATTGAAAAATATAGCAATACTGTTACTTACTATTATGTTTTCATATTTTTACCTTTAACTCTCCTTTAATTACTTTCCACATTTAGTCTTTTCCTTCACGCTGATTTAGCAGTCTCTCTCTCTCTCTCTCTCTCTCTCTCTCTCTCTCTCTCTTTGAATGAAGGCCAATATTCAAAGATCGATATTCGGGAATCATCAAGGTAGAACTCGAACCCTGTAACGAAAGCACGTGATGATTTTCGCAGGCCAAATGGCTGGTGTCCCTGTTTCTGCGATCCAACGTTCTAGAAACCTACACCTACATGCCGAGAGTAGCGATCTCGAGAGCCGGTTCGAACACCCGACCCACTTCCTAGAGACACATTCGCGGGTAATCCGATGCATCTCGAGTCCTGTGCTCGATCATTAACCGCCCGCTCATTGTGCTCGCCTCGATCTCTCTCGAGCACGTGTGCGTCCCTCTTCTCCTCGACTCCTCTGTCCCCTCGTCGTTCAAATATCCGCACAGCTGATACCTCGAAGACGAACAGTTTCCAGTTATGGCCAGTTGCATCAACCAGCGTCTCGTTGCTTTGTTACTCACGTTACGTCACGCTGCGAGGACGTGCGAAAGACGAGGGGACGAACGAACCACGCGAGGAAATTCTGTCCCGATCGAAAAGGAAATCAGATTGATATTCACGAGACGATTCGGAGAAAAAACTAGTTTAACCTATTAGGAGTGAAACGATTTCGTTTGCATCTTTTTTTTTTTGTAACGTAGTTGAGGACTGGCTTAACCTCTTGCGCTAGTAACTGGTTGACGGACCATAACGAGTGACCAAACCGTGTACAATAATTCGTCTTGTTTTCGATTTCATCGGTATATCACTGAGAAGTAATAAATTTAATATTCGTTTTGCCTGGGTTATATCTCAATATACTTAAAACTGATGAACAAATATTCTCGACATGCGTGGCACAGCGCAAGAGGTTCACACATTTCCCAGCTAGATTCTATAAATCATTGTTAACCTTCTAAGGACCTTTTGTCGCTAGTTGACGGATTTAAATCGCCAGGCGAAGTTTAATTTTACATGTTTTCATATAAATTATTGTAGTTCCTATATTTTCAAAATTAATCAAATCAAATAAAGACTCAAACTTAGTTCGAAACAAGAAGAGAGAGATAGTCGATATGTCGGATATTCGGCTTTCTCAGATATTAAATAGGTGTCGATATATTGGACGTTAGTACTTAGAAGGTTAAAACTTTTATAAATTCAATATTCAGGATTCGAAAAATAGCTAGTTTCGATTTCTCTTCTGTCCAAGAGTTTCATTTGCATTCTTTTCCAATATAAGAACTAGTTTAATATTTCTTTCGCCTATCATCAAGAAACAGTAAAAGTTCAATTAAGAGAAGAATTTATATTTTATTTTGTTAACTCTACTTAAAATTACGTCCATTTGCAACTCGTTTCATCAAACTACGTTCAAATGTATTGAATCATTTCGCCGTTTATTTAATTGTTATTCACGATTGCCGAACGTTTGCTGATCGTTTGTATCGAATTCTGTCCGGCGTGAGAACTTGTACCTGGCAGAATCGAATTTGAAACGCATCGATCATTTCAGACTGCACGATGTTATTCCTGACCGTGACAACGTGTCTGGCGATCACGGTACAGGCCGGATGCCCTATGCGACCGACCGCGGAACAAACTTCCGCCTCGAGGACCACGGGCGACGGTGACTATAGGATACTAGTTAGCGGGAAGGCTGACAAATATATTCCGAACGCTGTTTACACGGTCAGTTTGCAAGGTAATGACATTTGCTCGCTTCAAAGACCGCGATATTTAAACTGTATAAGCTATGTAACTTAACATCTTGTTTAATCAGTTACACCTAGAAAATAAATAATCTTCTAACCTTGGCGTCACGCTAGTTGCAACTGTATATAAGCTGTTTCCTCTTTATCGTCAAACAGAAGTAGCCACGTGTTATAATAGTGACTAATGTACAATATAAGATAAAAAAAAAAAAATAAGAAGATTGTATAGCTGTACTAACTCGATCGACCGTGAAACCTGTAAGATTTCTCATTTAATTAGTTAAATACCTCTAGAAAGTAAATAACCCTTCTAACCCTTGGGCCACGCTAGTTGCAACTGTTTATGAATTGTTTCCTCTTTATCGTCAACAGAAGTAGCTACGTATTATAATAGTGACTAATGTACAATATAAGATAAAAAAAAAAATAAGAAGATTGTATAGCTGTACTAACTCGATCGACCGTGAAACCTGTGAGATTTCTCATTTAATTAGTTAAATACCTCTAGAAAATAAATAACCCTTCTAACTCTTGGGCCACGCTAGTTGCAACTGTTTATGAATTGTTTCCTCTTTATCGTCAACAGAAGTAGCCACGTGTTATAAGTGACTAATGTACAATATAAGATAAAAAAAAATAAGAAGATTGTATAGCTATACTAACTCGATCGACTGTGAAACCTGTGAGATTTCTCATTTAATTAGTTAAATACCTCTAGAAAGTAAATAACCCTTCTAACCCTTGGGCCACGCTAGTTGCAACTGTTTATGAATTGTTTCCTCTTTATCGTCAACAGAAGTAGCCACGTGTTATAAGTGACTAATGTACAATATAAGATAAAAAAAAAAATAAGAAGATTGTATAGCTGTACTAACTCGATCGACCGTGAAACCTGTGAGATTTCTCATTTAATTAGTTAAATACCTCTAGAAAGTAAATAACCCTTCTGACTCTTGGACCACGCTAGTTGCAACTAGTTTGCTCTTTATGAATCGTTCACGAGCCACTCGTTGAGCAAATAAAAGTAGATATACAAGATAAAATACAAATACAAGATAACGAAGTGACAAATTACAAACAAAAGTAATTCAAATTCTCTCAATTACTTCCGAAAGAAATCTCGAACGAATTTCAGGCTCGCGAACACACGAGAGGTTGCAACAGTTCACGCGGTTCACTCTCTCGGTGAACTCTCAACACGCGCCAAATAATGCCAGCGCTCGAGTAGGATACTTTCAACTGTTCCCCGACTCTCTGACCACCTTCAACGAAGACTGCGTCAACACCATCTCGGAAGCATCCGACTATCCCAAAACGGAGGTGACTCAATTTCTCATACGAGCTTCTACTTTTTTTTTTTTTTTTCTTTGTTTGATAACTAGGCTCGTGACGTCGGTGGAAACGTACAGAGGTAGATGATAGATAAATTTTCTGGCGGTTTGGCCGCTGGCCAACAGCCGTTGATGTTTGATTCCACCGCGTTATCGCCCGTTAGGGTCGCCGCGAATTTCCACAAAGGGACAGTACGAAACGTTCTTACCTTGGCGCAGATCCAAGTGATGTGGAAGGCACCGCTGTCAGGATCAGGATGCGTTGTCTTTACGGCTATGGTGCTGGAGAATAACGTGCGATGGTACGCCGAGGACGGTGAACTGACGAAGACCTTCTGCGAGATGGAGCCAGCCGAGGCCGGGGCCTTCGACGCGGAGAAGTGCTGTGCCTGCGACGAGGCCAAGTACTCGGTGAGCTGTGTTAACCCTGCTGTTGATTAATCTCCATTCATCGAGAACTGTTTGTAAACCATACGTTCATTTGCCAGAACATTCAAATGCTGAAGCTACGGAAATACTCCACTCAGCGTGTGCGTGTGAAAAGTACGTCGTGAATGTCGATGAAAAATTGTAGATGTTTCAATCCATTTAACCGTATAACTTTGTGAAAGAAAATCGTACGACAAATTTAGGAGACTTTAGTCTTCAAGATCCTGGCGAATTTAGTTATGAAAGAAATTCTCTCAGTGTCGACAAAGACGTTTTAATTTGCAGAATTTTTCGAGAGAAAGGAATATCTGTATTTATATATCTTTTCAAGGTGACTTGTATCTTCGAAAGAAACGAATTCAATATTTAGCTTCGCTGCACGATTTCTCCCCGCGAAGTTCTAGCAATTCAAAACATCGACGATCAATTCCAACACCGTCTGCAAGAAGATTTCCATAAAATATTTACAAGCATCGAGCGTTTGATAAAACCGTGTCCAGCGAGGTTAAATCGTACTTTTTGTAAACACGTCGGAGCGTGACGAGGAAAGATCGAAGCTCGATGGCACGTTAAGGCGACACCATGAGCAATCGTTTTATAAATCACTTGGCGCCGACCTTACAGAGCTGTCTGCCGGTATTTATAGTGTAGTATAGACGATTTCGTAGGAATCGATACGGAAGGGCTTTGAAAGACTGTACCGGCATTCGTTTCTCGGCAATTTTTACCTCTCTGTGTTTCAGTTGACAATGGAGGGGCTGTGGTCAAACGTGACACATCCAAAGGATTTTCCATTTTCCGTTTGGCTGACCCATTTCAGTGACGTGATTGGCGCCTCTCACGTGCCGTCGTTTTCCTTCTGGGGTAAGGATCACATCGCCACCGATGGCTTTCGGCAACTGGCCGAATGGGGATCCGTGTCTGGGGTTGAAACTGAGCTCAAGGCCAAAGCCAATCAATTGAGAACGCTGATTAAGGCTGCCGGATTGTGGTATCCGAACGTAAACTCTAATACCAGTACCAATTTCAGGTAGCTACTTACTCTCCGGTACCGATTATTTCTGTTTCCTGTAAAAGTTTCTTTAGTTAGAAATATGCGAGAAGATTGTTATTTGATCCTTTTATTTTTTAAAACATGACAAAGTATATCGATCGATTTAAAATTTAATTTTGTCAGAAATTTGTCACGATGTATAATATACGATATGCTTAGTTAATTAAAAGAAAAGAACAACTTTTCGAGAAAGCCAGCTATTGAATGACATTGAATACAAATATTAACATTAGAACTACATGCTAAAGCGTGGAATTTCCATTGAAGTAAAAAAAAAAAAAAAAACAGAATAGAAGAACTTTATGATACAACAAAGTCTAAGAGCTTTTATTTATGAAAAAGTCATTCAAATCTCCAAAAGTATACTGCTTACTCTACGAGATCCCCGAGAAAAGATTGTAAATTGATCATTTCGAGTTTTGGTAGTTCTAGCGTTAGTAATTGTCGATATTAATATTTAAATAATGTTATAATTTAATAATTATATTTATATTTTTAATAATATTAATATTAAAATAATATTAAATTATTTAAATATTATTTAAATATATTATTAATAAATATATATTGTCTAAAATAATATTAAACTAAATTTAATAATTTAATATCAAAATAATATTAATAATATTAATATTAAAATAATATTAAATTATTTAAATATATTATTAATAAATATATATTGTCTAAAATAATATTAATATAAATTTAATAATTTAATATTCAAATAACATTATAATTATATTTTCAATAATTTAAATAATGCCCGCTTCAGTTAAAGCCTTTACTTTCATTTTTCTATCTACTTTCCCAGAGTGGATAGAAAACATCCGATGATATCCGTAGCTTCCATGTTTGGCCCTTCTCCAGACTGGGTGGTCGGTGTCAGCAAACTAAATCTCTGCAGAAAGGATTGCACGTGGACGAAGAGCGAGGTGATCGATTTATACCCGTGGGACGCCGGCACTGACAATGGCATCTCCTACATGTCGCCCAATTCTGAAACGAAACCGCGCGAGAAGATGAAACCAATCACCACTTTGTACCCGGAGGATCCCAGATCGCCGTTCTACGACCCGACCGGACGACCCATGTTGCCATTAGCCCGTCTCTATTTGAATAGGGAGAGGATCATCCCGCGAGGCTGCGACGAACAAATTCTTCAGCAACAAGTCACGCAGCTCGAGGTCGCTGAGAATACCGAGGACACTGTTAGACGTAGGTGACATCTCACTCAGTCATAACATACGTCAGCTCGAGATATCGTTAATTTTGAAACATTGCGAGCTTTGTTGGATATCTTTTAGAATGTATTATAATTTAGTAGAGGGAACGTTACGATTCGAAAGTTGTTTTAATTCTTTCAGAAGCAAGCAATGTAGCAATGACAACGGTTATCACTTGCAAATGATTATTGCTACCTTGTTAACTTAATGAGCAAATTTATGCTGTTCGGTAGAATGTAGAAGCTGCTTTAATTCTAAAAAAAAAAAAACAGAGCCATATAGCAATAACGATGATTATTAACTTGCACCGTAGAAAGAAAATAAATTTGTTCGAGCTATTAATAATCTCCTAGTTAAAATTGATTTCCTGATAAATTTACTCCTTTTGCAACAAATCAACGGTACGCCTAGTTTTACTTAACGTATCATTTTGCTTATTATTCTCAGCTGAATGCCAGACTACCGAATACACAGCTTGGTCAAGCTGCTCGGTGACTTGTGGCAAGGGATTGAGGATGCGAACGAGATCGTACCTAATGCCAGAGAAAGCAGTGATGTTCAAGTGCAACAGACAGTTAGTTTCAAAGGAGATGTGCGTCTCGTCGATCCCGGAATGCTCGTAAGTACATCGAAAACGTACGTCAGCTACGAAAACTGTATGCTGATAGCTGAAACTAACAATAAAATCTCCTGAACCTTTCTTGCACAATGACACCGGTAAATTAAACCATAATCTTACGTATATTGTTAAAAAGTTTCAGAAAATATGAACAGAATGTCATTCAAGTTACACGTAACAAGATTCCATAGTTTTAGAGCTTTGCACAAATGCAATAAACTCGAATAACTTGGTTTAAGTTCGATTGTGCAAAAATTGTTCCCGAATTGAAATTGTCATTCAACAAACGTGACATCGTAACGTCTGACTTCAGTGGCGAAGAGGAGACGGACGACAGCGGTTTGCTACCAGCTTTTACTCCTTATTGCGAAACCACCGACTGGGGCCATTGGTCCGAATGTTCCTCCACGTGTGGCCCGGGTTTGAAGATGAGGACAAGGCGGTTCAAAGATCCGATGGGTCGTAAACGATGCCCTCACGTATCCATCGTCGAGAAAGTAAAATGCATGGAACAAGCGTGCCTGTACGGCTTGGAGGAACAGATCGATCCTACGTGCAAAGTATGCTATCTACATCGTCCCTGTATATATATATTTATATATAGATTCGATCGTGTTTTGTAGCCCGCCTCGGGCACTAGATCTAAGCGTTGGATCACGGGTAATTGGCGTACAAGGCGTAAAACCCATTTCAGGTGACTGAGTGGTCCGATTGGTCTCCGTGCAGCGCTTCCTGCGGGAAGGGGGTGAAATTGAGAACCAGACTGCTGATGGTAGATCCGTCACTGCAGCAAGAATGCTCCTCTAAATTGGAATTACTCCAGCAACGTCCTTGTTTGGAACAGGCCGACTGCACCTTCGACATGGCCACTGCAAAAGGTAAAACTTTGAAACAACACGGATGACTCGAGTTAACAGTTTCAGATGGCCGCTCCGCAAGAACCAAAGTTTCTCCTTTTCCCTGTGTCTTTCGTCTCGTCTCTCGCACGATTTAAAACATTTGGCAATTACTTTTTTGCCTATAAAACACAGTACACGGCGGGAACAATGTTCTGAAAACACACGTACTGAGAAGTGAGAAAATGATTTCGCGAAATCGTGTTCCAGTGGTCTGTATGGAGGAAGCAGACATTGGACCCTGCAGAGGCTATTTCCAGAGGTGGGCGTTCGTCCCTCAGAAACTGACGTGCATGCCCTTCGGCTACGGGGGTTGCCGCGGTAACAGGAACAACTTCTTGACCGCCGAGGAGTGCAACAATACTTGCGGTATTGTGAGTACGGTGATCGAGAAAGATCCTGAACAAAGGGAAAGGTCGTTATTTATTTTCAGGTACGAACGATTCTCAGTGGACAGCCGTTGAACGAAACTGACGCTAGAAATGGTGTGATACCCAGCTCGAAACCTGTCCATTGTCGTGTGAGCAGCTGGTCACATTGGTCGCCTTGTAGCGTCACGTGTGGCGTAGGTCATGTCACCAGTTATCGTACGATCGAGGTGAGTCCGGACAAACATTTGAAATGGAAGTATTTGTTAATCTATTGTTAATAATAACTGTCGTCGACGTTTCGGACACGTTCAGCAAGAGGCACGAAACGGAGGGAATCCTTGCCCGAAGAGGCTTCAGCGGCGATCCAGGTGTCAGCTGGCGCCGTGCGAGTAACTTCAAAAAAAAAAACTCGACTTTCAATCGAATTTGGACCTTTTTTCCCAATCAAATGTCATTTAAACGTCGTCCAGTTTTTTTTATATTGTCGTTTCTATGTGAAAAAATTTCTCTTTGGAGATTATAATGGAGATTATAAACACTTGGCGTTTGCACGACGTATGATGGGTATGAAATAAACCGATGTATCAGAATAAATGGTATTTTATTAATGGTCATTCGTGATCTTTCTACTCTCAGTTTGAGTTTCAGTTTGCTCAAATACGCTGGGCTACGATCGCAAAAACGAACATAAAGTCGGGAAAGCGGGAATCGATCTTCCGCGCCGCGTTTTTCAAATATATATATATTCATCCTTGTTTAACAAACAGCGCCAAGCGAAACTTTCGCAACTGAAAGAGTGTAGAAACGCTCGACGGGGAAACTTATACGCGTCCGATAGGTAGTTCAAGTTGCGAAAACAAGCGGAGAAGTACTCTTTTTCTCAGTATTAATTCGCCTCAATCATGGCCGCTATTCTGCTAAGCGTTTCTTCCTCTCCTTTTTCCGCCACGTCGATATAATTCCAATTATAGCGTATATATGAAATTTCTCAACAACTTTGTTGAATTAATCAAGCATCTCTTAATCAAGCATCGACAAATATTTACGATAATAAACAATAATCCCGCGAAACAGCGAATTCTCAAGGTATATTTCACTCCCGTATTCCTCCGTGATATAAACAGATTGTTCTCTCTATAAAATATCTGAGCTCTCGTGATGGATGCTGTGCTGTCGGAAACGATATTAATTTCGATCGTTAAAAAATTCCGCTAAATTCTATGATTCGTCTTCGAGTTTACGATCTATTTTTTTTTTTTTTTTTCAACCGGCTTAGGTAGTTAATAAAACTTGGTTGGTTCCCTTTTTTGCGTGTACTCTCTTTCTACTGTACGCTTTTTTTTTTTTGTTTTCTCGTCTTGTTTCGTGCTCCTATTATATTTCTCTCTCTCTCTCTCTCTCTCTTTTTTTTTTTGCTTTTTCGTTTCTTTGCAACGACAACCGCTTCACAGGACAACACTCACTATGACGTTTGCCAAGTGGACATCTAACTTTACATTTACAGTAGTAGTAGTAGTAGTAGTAGTAGTAATAATAATAATAATAGTAATAATAATAATAATAATAATAATAATAATAATAATCTCATAAATAATACACGTAGGCGGTATAGTATACTATTACGTACGGTCTGTCAGGCGCTCGCGAACTCGAACAGGACACGAAAGACGATAAAATTCGAGTGGATCCAAGCGGACAACGAGATCCCCTTCCGCGCTCCTGACACCGGGTTCACATTAATTATAATTATTATCATACGTACACGTAATAATATCTAGGAAGTAGTACGGATCTTAATCTCTGTTTTAGGCCTCTACTCGACTACGCTACGGCTCGCTTCCTGTTTTGGTCGTGACACATTTATCTCGTCCTCCCTGTTTTGTGAACCGCTAATAAATTCGAAGGTGGGAGGGGGGGGGGGGAGGAGGAGGGAAAACGCGCCTGAGAAATGAACGCCTCCCTTTTGTTATCGCCGAAGGAAAGAAATCGTCGCGTTCGAAGTTAGCTCCATCTCTGCGAAATCCCCCTTCGTCGTTGTTAGCAGTTTCTGTAACAGCTGCTTGGGAATCCCGACCCAAACGAGTATCGACCGGGTGAAACGTACCCTAACTTTCGAGCGTGATTATTTCCCTCCTTTCCCACGTGATGTCTCTCCTCTCTCGTCGAAACAAGGGGGAAACAAGTTGAAAGAATATTATACACGTTCGAGTATGTAACAGATCGTGTGACTAGAGTTGGCTGAACGACAAAGTGAAACGAAGTCGCTAGTTGAATTAGAAAATAGAAAATGGAAGAAGAAGGTTGGAGTAAAGTGCCGATCTTCAGTAGGCCAGCTTCCTGAAGTGGCAAGAGCTAAAAGCTCGCCGTTCGGTTAAATCACGAACGATGAATTAACAGAACTCGCTCGGATTCCACCGAGTTAATTAGGTAGAAGACGTAACGCAATAACTCGTAATCCTCTTCTATCGCATGAGATCGTCCGACTAGCGCTGACTAGTTAGTTTAGTCGTCGACCCACTTGCCCTTCCCGTTCTGGCAGTAGTAGCAGTTGTAGTAGTATGTAACAGTATAGTAGTACGTAGTAGCTCGTTCGACGATGCGACACCGATCGAAATGACTTTCATGGAAGTGTCGAAGTGGAAGTTCGTCGTTCGTCGCGGTAGAAAATCGGGTATCGGTGACGACGTTTGCGTACGGGCGACGATGGGACCAACTCCGACGGCATTTACCACCGTGGAAACGATAAGTCACGATGGTGTATGATCAGGTCAGGTCCGCCAACAAATGCGAGAGAACTTGAACAGTTTCGTCTGTGCAGTGTTCGCGACGTTCTTCATCCGGGAGAGGGGGCAAACCTTTCTTTCCCTCCGAGGAATAAGCGTGGTATCGCGTGGTTTCGGAGCATATTCTGAAACTTTGTTTCCCGAAGCGACACAAAGCGCCGCGAAAGTTAATCTCCTTCCCCGGAAACTGAGAAAAGTTGGCGCGTTAGGTGAAAGACGTCGCTGGTTAAAGTTAGAGTCTTCTTCTTCTTCTTCTTCTTCTTCTTCTTCTTCTTCTTCTTCTTTTTCCTCCACGAAACGTCGAAGGGAAAAGGGCGGTGATGGGTCGACGAGCTGACGTTGCTCGAACTTCACGCGCGACGTCGCTTATCAAATAATATACATGTACGTAATAGACATATATATATCTATATATCTATACATAGTTTCTTTGTCTCGGCGAAATGCGTCGTCGTCAAAAAAGGCATCATTGTGCGTGTGCCGACGATCACGCGATCGTACGCGATCTTACGTGATCGATGTCGTCGTATCAGCGTTCGCTGGTCGGTGAATACGGAATTCGTTTACGCGCGAATTCGATCCGTGTTCGCGATACGTCGTCGCTGCGGAGCGACCGTTGAATCCTCTCAGAGCCACCCACCGGATACATCGTGGCCGGATATTGGCTCGATACCTGGAAGCCGCTGCAGCTGCGTCGCTGACCCGTTCCTCTTCATGCTCGCCGGCAGAGAACTGCTCGCGACCACGCTCTCCTCTGTCGTCGATGGTGTCAACGGAGCCGCTGGAACCACTTCGCAACACAAACAAACAACACCTTCCGGCTATTTGCCTATTTAGAAATCACTCACATTACGTCCACTGTTGCGCAAACATACTCTGACATAGAGTTTTCACAGATTAATAATCGCAATTGTTTCTTAACCCCTTAGCTGTGAACGACGAGTATACAAAATGGCAATTCTTTGCGTAATGACGAGATGCATTATATAATAAAGTAATTCGTTACTTGAATTAAATCTTTTGCGAAAAAATAAAACATATTTGTACACATGATTGATACTATAGATCCTTTTACATCAATTTTTGAATATTTTCTTGATATTAATTATTATTAATTAATCAATAATCAAGTTAAACAATAAAGTTGTCGATTAAAAAAGAGCTAGCGTTATTTCTTTAAAATCTGATTAAATTTCATAGCAGCTGCACGTACTCTTTGACAAATATAACTGTCATCGCGTCGTATTATACACTTTTAAAAGCTATTACAGCCAAGGGGTTAAAGATTTAGCCCTCTCAATAAATACGAATTAACGCAAAGCATTCAATTTCGACTGAGTACGTTTCAAAGTTACAAGAACTAGAATCTATCCAGCATCTCTTAGACAAAAGTTAATTGGAAAGGTTGAAAGTTAATTTATGACATTGTTCAAAGTGATCGAGGTGGACTCACCAGGTTGCTCGTTAGCGCTGGCACCCTCGGGAGTGTCGATACTGGGTTGCTGACTTTGCGTGCCCTCGTGTCTCCTCGGTGGAATCGGCTGTTGGCCTAGTTCCGGTCCCCTAGTCGGCACGCTGCTCGCTCTCTGCAGCTGCTTCTTCGACACCTTCGAAACGAGGACCGAAGCGATCGGGTACATCGGATTCGTGCCGGTGCTGCTTCTCATCCCCGACGTCGACGACCTCGAGTCCGAGAAGGTTTTCCGTTTCTTTCGTAGCGCTACCAACGCGCCTAAGCCGTGAGCAAACACGTGATGACCCTCGTGATGATGCGCGTGATGCGAGTGATGGGAGTGATGTGTGGCTTGGACTTCGTGCCCTGGAGTCTCCAACGAGGACTTTGAGTCTGTCGATCCTTCCGATCTTGACCCACCGTCTTCTGAAGCTGGCGAGTACACGGAATCCTCCGAACGAGATCTACCTGAGAAATCACAAGAGCAGTTGCTTTCTTAGCTATACGTCGCGAGTAAACTAAAACATCTGGAAAATTGTTAATTCGTTCTGCACGATCGTGATCAATTGACCAACTGACGTTTTGCCATAATTACTTTTACACTCTTCTTTACTTGTACCACTAGTCGTGAATGACGTGCCACGCACGTCGAGAAACTTTTTGTCCCAAAATTGCAATATTTTCTCAGTTTTAAGTATATATATAACGTTTAAGTATATATATAACCCAGGCAAAACAAATGACAAATTTTTTACTTCTCAATAACTTCTGTCCAGTAATATCACACCGACAAGTTCAGAAAGAAAGCGACGAATTATTGTATACGGTTTGGTCACTCGTTATGGTCCGCAATCAGATGCCAGGCGCAAGTGGTTAAATCTCTCGGGGTATAATAAAATATATATATATATATATATACGAATGATGCAAAGAAACGTGTCGTGTCATGTCGCTGAGATGACTTCGCGAAGCGTCTTGCGAACGTCACGTTAAAATTTTTCGAGATACTTGGCTGTTCCCAGTCACGAGAGACGCGCTGTATAACTTACCAATTAGCCTGGAAACTTTGCCTCGGACTTTAGCCGCTTCGATAAGATTCTCCCATCTCTTCTTCTTGGAACTTCCCCTGATTCTGCGACTCTGTCTGCTGGTGCCGAGTCCAGGAACGCTGTTGGTGCTGGTGTGATGTGGACTCTTCTTCGGTGTGGCGCCCGGTCCGAATATACCGCTCAAGGTCGAGCCGAATATCTCGTGGGAGTTCTCCTGTTGCACTTGTTGCAGCGACGCCGCGAATTCGTCGACCGGCGGTAGGCTGCCACTTCCGCTTGGCTGAGGGGCGATGTTGAATCCCTTCATCAGACGTCGCTCCTTCTGCCGATTCTTCTTACCCCCCGCACCTATGGACAGCTCTTTAAGGCTACCGTCTATGGGACAGAGAGAAAACAAACCAAGGACTACTCCGAAGCAGCTACCAAAGAACTGAGAAGTGATGCTTGACAAATGTGCCTCTGTATGTGTGTGTGTGTATTTGTACGTGTGCTCGTGCCATACATTCGTCAACGAATGAAATTAACGCGACAAGCAGCTGAAATTTTCGGCAAGTTTTCGGCGTTACACGTTAAATCGGACTAAACAACCGACGAGACGATACCTGATCGCATTGATTATTCCGCCCTCGAATGATTAATAGCGCGCCGATAACGAGCTTCGAAACTTTCATTTACGAGGGACGGAGCCCGAAATCCTCTTCTTAGCGTCGTGGTCGTGTCACGATGGTAAACCGACAACCCGCTTTCGTTGTACGAAAATGATTCGAAGCAAACGATCGTGCACAGGAGATGAACGCAAGAGTCGAAACAAAGAGTACCATGAGAACGTAGAACACTACGCAGGGATTCTGTTGCATAGATACAGATATTAAATGCATACTCTAACTCTACGAAAATCTACGAAGAAACAACTACGATAAATCGAAAAATAAATACTAATTAACTGTCTACAAAGTCACGATCGTTTCGATCGTGCAACACGTGGGGAAAGCTCACCAGTCCCGGTACCACTGGCCGTCGACGTGTTCATGCCGGAATTCTTCAGAATCTCGATCAGCTCGCATCTGAGAGCGCTGATGTCTTGTTTGATCTCGTTCACGTCGTCCTCCGTCACACCCTCGCTCTCCGCCTTCCTCTGCTCCACCGTCACGTATCTCCTCACTAAATTCCTCATAATACTCTGGTACCTAAAGTCCCTCTCCGACGCTTGCTTAACCTTCCTCTGTCAGACAAACAAGATTACCGTGTCACGCCATGTTTGTCCAATGTTCCGCGGGTGGTCGCAGCACCGCCGCGAATTAGCGACACAATTTCGATTCGAGAATCGTAAGCCCGCGAATTAGAATTAATCTCACTCTGATCGTTCGCATGTGCTCCTTCTTGGCAGCCCTACTGTGGCCGCACAGCTTCCGGTACAGCCATTGGCCCATGTACCAAACGCTCTTCGGGGTCGGTATGATGTTGAACGGCGGTGGAACCGTGCCACCCTCCTCGAAATAGCTGATCCACAGCTTGCTTCTGGCGAACTTCCATTCGATGTCGGCACGTTCCTGATTCGAGTCGCAGGGGGAATTTAATCAATTAGCGATTGTGTCACCGAACGAGGCGGTTAGAGACGGGCAGAAGTTAACTCACGGATATCAACTGATAGGAATGGTTCATCATGGCGATTAGCAGATTCAATAGGACGACGATGTTGATCACCGAGTACGTGCCGAACATCAGCATGCCCCAGAACCTGGTGAACGCTTTGATGCCGTCCAGCTCGAAGCTCTCGAGGTCCACCAGCCCGAAAACCGCCCAGAACAGCGTTTGCGCCGTTTCGAACAAACTGGCGAAAGACGGAACTGAAATTATCTCGTGAAATTCGACGATGCAAACTTCGACTAAATCGACTATAGTGGATTCTACGATCCCGATGTGACAAACTTTACTGTTGTAAATTATCATATACGGTTTTTTTCTTTGTAATTGAATAATAATTGGTAATTATTTAGAAAGAGAATAATCTCGCAGATTTTGATTACCTTTTAGTTTTCGAGTGTTAGAGTATTTTTGTTACCTTATATCGCTAGGAATGTGTTTGTATTAATTAGGTTAGATTTTTTTGCCTAACAGATGAATATCAGCAACAATGAATTTAAAATAATCTGATGATAGATAATATTATAAAACGAAAAATATGCTTTCGTTGCACTTTATTGTAATAAAAATATCTTGCCAATTGAAATTGAATGTTTTGCTCCACAGACGAAACGTGAAAATTTCGCGTGGCAATCAACCCATATAAATATTAACACTGTGGCTAAAGTATTCGAGTAATGACAATATAACGTAAAGTTTAACATCAATTGCAGTTGTATCATTATTTAACAACTGTACAGAGATATTTTACATTCTGTTAAAGTTATCAGTATAAACATTTAAATCTAATTCAAATCTAATTCAAATCGATAGTTCGAGTTAACATTACAAACGATAAAAAGAGTGACAAAAATATCTCGGAAATTAAAACCGACAACACTCCTTGACAATACATTGGCTAATAATTGTCAAAGACACCTAATATCAAAAAAGTATCAAATTTCGTTTGGAACGAATCGGGTATCACGTACTTTGCGAATCGGCGCCAAACGATGCAAGCGTTCGAATCGGTGGTACTGTTGGCGTTAGAAGAATAAGACATCGCGGTCGGGCATCTCTTCTTCTCCATGTCTGCGTAGTACCACAGCAGCTGGTTCAGACCTAGGCCAACGAGGAACACCGTTTCGTGAGTGTGACTGCCGGGTCGTGGTTTCGCGCGCGAGTCGAATCGAACATCGAGATTTACCGCAGGAGAAGGCGAACAGCACCAGCACGTAGAGGAAGAAGAACTTCATGATGTCCATCACCATTCTGGAGAGGGACACTTGCAGGGGGCCGAGGTGAGGATTTACGGAGAAAATGTAGACGAGTTTCAGAGAGCTGCAAGTAGATCGATAGGCCAGTCGCGTTGCGTTTGATCGTATATGTGCGACTGAAGAGCGTGAAATTGAAATTTATGTTTGAGAGAGTAGCCTAATTACATCCCTCGGGATTTCACGACGTCACGTGGCAAAGAACCTTTCAAAGCGTACTACCAAAGAGTACTGCAATTACCATTTTTCTCCTTCGCTTTTTTTTTAATACGTAAAATTACTGCAACGACTACGCCAGTAATTGCGCGTCGGGCGACTGTTTGGAATGAAACGCTCTAGAATTTATTCTAGACGGTGATTTTTACAAAATGTTCATTAGATGACTGAGTTACGTGGAGGCTTCAACGAACAAATTAAGAAAAGGAACGCGAGGATCTCTCGAACGATGAAAATCGAGCATAGACCTGAATATGTTGGCGGCGGAGAAAAGGCCCTCGGATATGAGCATTGGGTCCCACGTATCCCACTGTTCCCGTTGCAGCTCGACCACCGAACCGTATTCCTGGCTTTCCTTCTGCACCCTGTAGTAAGCGACCACTCTGAGCGCAGCGGTGGCTACGTACAAGGAGTTTGTAACGAAGTCGATCACGTTCCACATGTCGTTCACGTACTCCTCTAGGCCGACGTCCCACAGCTGCTTCACCTCCGACCAAATCAGGCCGGATACCCAAGCAAGGATGAACCTACGGATACGACATCGTTCACACTTGGCGACGCCCGTTCGATTTCGCTTCGGAATCGGCTGTCTCCCGGGAATATCACTGGCTCGAGCCTTAAAAGCCAGCTTCGAGAAACGTGATTCCGAACTTCGCCTGTATATATTCCCTTTATGTCGGTACGAGTCGGTAGAAAAGTCGTTTTCGAGAGGTGTCAGAAACCGGTGTGTGGCTACCGGGAGGATATTTATTTTCGGCAGGTCGGTTTTATTTGGGTCTGTGCTACTAGATTTTTAGTAGAAGAAAGTCGGACTGGGTTGTGCAAGAGTGACGCGTGAAGGGAAACTTGCACCTAGGGAAATATTTTTAGGAGAAATAGCAGTGGATATTGGCTCCCTCTCGTTTGTAACGAGAAGGCCGAAGAGGAGCGCTGGTTAAAAATATTGTCTTACCATTCGACGATCGTCGGGGCAGCGCCCCTTTTCGTTGGTGCTGGTTCGTGTTCCTGTTTTATGACATCGTGGCCTATCCAATTGCCGATCACGCTTTCTATCCTTTGACTAGCCAGAATCAGCATGACTGCGGACGAATCGGTACGTATTATTCACGATAATTCATATTCACTCTGGTCACGTTAAAGTAGTTGGCAAAGTAAGAGAAGTAGTTGTCAACGTGTCTCCTATCAAGAAGTTTGTTCTTGAAAAAGGTTTGCCACTGTGCTACATTTACAAATTATTTCGTTTGAAATTGAATTAAACATTGTGTAATTTGAAATTTTAATTACTTTGAAACTGGCGTAACTCTGTTTTTCGAGAAAAACTCTTTTTATCTATAAAAATTCATACATGCCTTGATGGGAATTTTTTTTTGGTCCATTTTCATTTATATTCTTTTACCTATAATTTATAATTTGTCCAATTTATAATCAATCCAAGTTCCGTTGCCAATTGGATTTGCGAACGCAAACATCTCCAAAAGAGAAAATGCAACTTATACTTTTTCAAACTGAACGATTCAACGTGAATGAGAACAGAATTATGAGAAAACCACAGCCATTTCTTCAAACGCGTACAGATGTCTATACGAGAAAAGACACATTGTCACGCAAGTAAGGCGAAACGTGCTCAACAGCGGGGCGTAACTCCACGCAACATTACTCTAATTACTATAATGGGATCCTTTGCAACTTTGTGCAACATTGTCTCAGGTAAATTCGATAAGAGGCGTGGCGATTCGAAGTTGCAAGTCACCCCGAGGCGAGGACGATATTGTTCGAAATACCTCGGGGGATTCTGAAACGCCTTTGCACGACATTATAGCACGATCTCCGTCGATTCAAAAACGATCAGGCATCGATGTTCGATTCAGCGATTCATGTATCTCGTTTTCGCGATCGTGGGGCTGGCAGAACTTTGCGTTCATACTAAACGCTACACTAACACACACACACACACACACACACAGACACACTACAGCAGGTTCGGAGATTAGCTTGGCTCGTTCCTGAATAATCTCCCGGAATTCCTTACGCCTTCCTGGCTCGCGTCGTCGAGGAGTACATTATCTCTCCACGTTCCTCGCAAAATATCGTTAGTCTAACTTCGAGGTCAATTATGCCTTTCGCGGAGACGCTTAGAATCTCTCGCGCCTCTTTACGAGGTCCTCCGAGATGCGCCGCTTTTCAGTCCGTTCCTCCACCATTGTCAAGTTTCCAACTGCTGTTACATTCAAATCTACGATAATTTCGTCTTCGCGAAGTATCTATCCTCAAGTAAAAATTTGCGAAAAACGACTAAGAGACTACAGAAGTTTTCGTGAAACGTTAAAATATTTTATGTATGCCAAAATTTAGTTATTCATAAATCGTTGCTGTTACATTCAAATCTACGATAATTTCGTCTTTGCGAAGTATCCATATTCAAGTAAAAATTTGCGAAAACCGACTAAGGGACTATAGAGACAGTGAGTTGCGAAGTTTTCGTGAAACGTTCAGATATTTTATGTATGTCAAAATTTAATTATTCATAAATCGTTGCTGTTACATTCAAATCTACGATAATTTCGTCTTCGCGAAGTATTCATCTTCAAGTAAAAATTTGCGAAAACCGACTAAGAGACTATAGAAACAATGAGTTGCGAAGTTTTCGTGAAACGTTCAGATATTTTATTTATACCAAAATTTAGTATTTCATAAATCGTTGCTGTTACATTCAAATCTACGATAATTTCGTCTTTGCGAAGTATCCATTTTCAAGTAAAAATTTGCGAAAAACGACTAAGAGACTATAGAGACAGTGAGTTGCGAAGTTTTCAGATATTTTATGTATGTCAAAATTTAATTATTATAAATCGTTGCTGTTACATTCAAATCTACGATAATTTCGTCTTTGCGAAGTATTCATCTTCAAGTAAAAATTTGCGAAAAACGACTAAGAGACTATAGAGACAGTGAGTTGCAAAGTTTTCGTGAAACGTTCAGATATTTTATTTGTGCCAAAATTTAGTATTTCATAAATGGTTGCTGTTACATTTTAATAGAAAATTGCTATGAATAAGAGTTCCAAGCGACGACAAGTTCGACAATTCGAGACAGTATAGCGAAATTGCACGGTGGAATTCTTGAACCGGAATGGGGGAAGGGTTACAGGTTGCTTGATCCCGTTTCGAAATGTTTATCGCCCCACGCGGCAACGGTGGTTGATGTCTCAAATTTAGAGCATTACCACACTCTGCTATTATTGGTAGTGAGAGGTGTTCGCGAATCGCGGTAAACTGTTTAGTAAGCTTGATTCGGAAAGGTGAAACACGTCGTCGATAGAAACGAGGCCGAACGAGTTCGATAAACTTTCGAAAAAAAAAAACAGAGAAATAAAAAAAAAAGAAAGGTAGATCGAACGAATTTCCTTCGTGTCCTCCTACGTGTACGTTCTCGAAGGAAACGATCGAGCGAGTCGCTCGGGAGGGGTAGAGAGGGGGAGAAAAAAGAAAAAGGGAAAGTCACGAACGCCGACTTTGATCGAGGTTAATTTTAGCGCGTGGAACAGCTTGCGGCACGCAGCGACGAAGCGGCGCAAAGTTCGTTCTCGAAGGGAGCAAAACTTTGGAGGGGAAAAGAGGAGGGCGGCGTATACTTACAGAGAAAAGTGAAGTACGAGGCCGAGTGACAGATGAACTTGATGAACGGTTTCCTCATGGTTTGGCCGACGACGCTGTGCGGTGCGATGATGTAAGCGACGCTGAAGAACGGAAAGAGAACGCCGATCCTCACGATCTCCAACGCCTGGAGGAACATATTTTTCCTCCGGAAGCCCGGAAGACCCTCGTACCAAATCGATGCGAGTAACTGCTGCACGTTAGGATGCGCCACGAACTGGAAATTCCCGAGATAATCTAATATTGGTCGACAGTTTCCGGTCATGTCACTGGGAAATTGTACTCATTAAGGCATTAAGGGTGTAATTTCGGTGGTTGGGAGTCCCGTAGTCGCGGTCGATCCCTCTCACGCCTAACCACGTTACATCGATACTCTGCCGGAGTAACGTGACCTTCTTCTTTCGTCTTCCTCGTATTTACACCGATTCGTCGTTTCTTACGTCGACGAAGAAGATTATATCGACTTATACATTTTAGTTTAATTTATTCAAATACCAGGGCAAACATCTCTTTTACAAGAAACAGAAAAGACACAAGAAGAAGATGAAAGATGAGGGCAACGTCAACCCTTTGAGTTATCACATCGAGTTACACCCGATGGTGGTAGGGATTCACGGTTCCGATATGGAATGTGAATTCGAACTTTCAATTTCAATTATTCAAACTGAAGATCAATAAAGTCAAATTGACACAGAGGTGGTCCATTTAAGCGAGATCACCTGAATATTTTCGAATTGTGCTGCGATGGAAAAAAATAACTTTTATATAATAAATCAATTTTATACAACTTTTATATAATAAATTAATTTTGAATAATTTTTTGTCAACATGAATGGAAAGAAAATCGATGATCTTGAAAAATGACCATGAGAAAAATATTCTTACGAGGCCCTTTCGATAGCGAAAAACACTCCCTGCATCATCATAATTCGAAAATATAGTGGCCTCACTTGAATGAACCACTCTGTATATAATGCTTCCAGTGCTTCACATCTGACGCGATGTAATATGTTACAATAACGAATGACTGGAAGAAAATGCCCTAAGGCAAGGGCATATTAAAATAAGTAGATAGATGATATATGATGACAATGGAGACAAGCATAAGTGAGTGAGATGGATAAATACAACAGTGACGGAGAATTAAGCGAAAAAACGGCGAAGAATGAAATATTATTATCGCATTTATCTTCAAACTCCGTTAGAAGCCATTGTAAAAAAAAAAAAAAAAGAAAAAGAAACAATCTATTTCTCCGACAGCGCACAATTTATCTTTCGCGATACGTTCGAGACATACGGACGGTGGGATTCCAGACGGTTACCTTTTTCTGTCGAAGTTTAATAGCGAGTTTCAGCCGGTTCAGGTGCATCCTCTCGCCGTGCTCGAACGCCGGCCCGGTGGGATCGTGGTTCAACAGCACCTCCAGCTCGTAGGAACTTCTCGTGTGATCCAGCAAGGCAGTGGCAAAGTCCTGGCACTGTCTCCTAAGCTCCTGGAATCATTGCAGCATTGCCTTGTTCCGAGGCGCGAAACAAGTTTTGTAAACAACGCGGAGGAAAGCGGAATTGCTCGCCCTCTCCTCCTCTCTCTTTCGTCGATTTACGCCGACGGTGTCTCGTTTTGACGGAAGTTTCCTCGCATCCGAAACGTAAGCCGCGAAACTTCCTTCTCGATACGGGCGACGCCACTCGCGAAAGCTTGTTTTTTAAAAAGAAGCTGTATCGAGCTCGTTCGAGGCGGCGATGCATGAATAAGAGCGACGAGAACGATGAAAAGGAAGATGGAGGACAGGTCGTTTGTCAATCGAGTTGTCGAGGGACAATCGGCCATTCGGCACGGTTCGAGACCTTTGAAAAAATGCGGAGTAATCTCGTGGAAACTTCATCCCCGCGAATGCAGAGACACGAGCGGGAGGGAGCGGGGATCGCTCGGTAATTTATTTCCCCTTAGTGCTCGCCGATCGTCCGGAAGATTTAAACGATCATCTCTCGGCAATTTGTTCGGACGTTATTGCGTTTGAATTGATAGGTATAAAGACAAGGGTGGTGGGGGGAGGGTTTCGTTTAATCGTCTGAGAAAGGAAAGAAGGAAAGACGGGTATATCGAACGTATTCGGTTATCAGTTCTACCCATTTTAGACATTGAGAGAGGAACGAAGCGAATGTGATGTCTTTAGAGACGCTGGACTGGTGGAATATTCCGTAAAATATTTCTCAGTTCAATTACATTCGATAACAAAGTACAAAGAGAAGACTCTCGTTCGATGCGACGAAAAGAAGAAAAAAAAAAAAAAAGAAAAATGCGAGAGGCAAAAGTTTTTATCGCGCTACGAAAGGAAAGTCAAACGAAGAGTAGGAGGGTAGATCATCTATAATTTATCCTAGTTAATCGGTCGTTCATCCTCCTCCAAGCTTAATCAACTCGCTCTGGACGATAATTTATTGGAAATCCGACGCAGCCGAGAAAATCGAGCGAAAATCGGGCTTTGCCCGATCTCTCGAGAATCGGGCGAAAGAAGCGGTTGAAAACGTTCCAAAGTCCCTCGTTTCTTCTCGGCCCATTATTCCATAGAATTTCTCATTGTCCAGCGACTAGGAAAGACACAAGCCGACTTGTTTTTCGCAAGAGAAACTGTCGAACGACCGAGGATCCGGCGCGTTCCCTGTTCCTCCTCCGCGAACAGTAACTCGCCAAAGCAAACATTCGCGACATCAAAGCGCCATAAAGCAGCGCAAAGTTCGGCCAGTATCGGCGAACGGCCGACGCACTTGAAGATCGGGCTAACGAGACATTAATATCTCGCGGCTGCGGTCCGACCGTGAAACTTTCGTTTCGAGTAGAGACTCGTCTCGTCTGAAACGACTGCACGATTCCCTCTAGTTCGAAGGAAGGACACCGGCGAGTATTTCGAGAGCAAACCTCGGGCGGACCGCGGAAAAACGACCACGTGTGCTCGAGCTGTTTACACGAATTAACAACGAGCGCGTTTACAACGCGAGGAAGACGACGCTTTGAGTCAACAGAGCCGCCCGGGAGAAATAAGCAGAGTCTGCGTCGTACCGAAAAATGCACCGACAGCTTCTACGTATTAATTTCCCTTTCGTACGTGCCGACCGTATCTTCGCCCGCCATTTCGAATGGCGTCTGGTTCGCCGGAAGGAGTCTCGAGAGAACAATTCGCGCGCAACATCCAGCGCGAAACCATCGATTTGCATTTGTATTGATTTATCGCCTGTTCCCCTCTGCATCCATGGATCCTGGGGATCTGCGAATTTTCTACTTTCGCAAGAGGGTGTCTGGAACATCTCCACGGGGGTGAAAGTACTCTCGCCGCGCGAACAAACGAGACAAATGACTCGGGAATAATATACGGAACAGGAGCGAAGAGAGGCACGTGGCGCCACATTCTTCCAAAAGCTTATGTCAACTCCCAAATTCTCGCCCCCGTTTTCGTTCCGTTTCTCTCCCGGAAATTCTGCTTACGACGTTTGAGAAAATATTTCTGCAACATTTCATTGAAAACAGTGTGTGACCCTCACTGAAATTCGGCCACTGAATATTCAAACTGCTACAATTTTGGGAAAATGAAGGAAAAATTGTACAACTTGGGCTCGTTTTGCAGTTTGAAGCCTCTACTTTCGAGACTCGTCGTTTAGTTTATTCTCGAATGTTTTTATATCGAACAGCCGAAGGACGAGTGGGAATCCTACAAACTGTCATAGTATAAATAATGAAAAATCTTCTTCGTGACTGACGGATTTGAGGATTGAAGCTTCTTCTTTACGACCTTCGAAAATTTATGATTTTTTTCTCGCCATTTTATTGAACTTTGAATACTAGATACATGCAACGAGAATTGAAGGAATCGTAACATTTTATCGTTCTTGCTTGATATTCAAAATTCAATAAAGTAGCAAAAAAGAAATCGTGCAAGTTTCAAAGAGTCGTTGCAAAGGGGAAGCTTCAAATCTATTCAAAATTCAAAGATTTTTCAATATTTTTACGTACCATGACAGTTTATACCATTTTCGAAAAGAAAACTGTCCTCACTTTACCATCTATAGTACAGCGTCAAAACATCTTAAAATAATATGAACGATGTATTTTGAGACTAGAGGCTTTTAAAACAAGCCCAAGTTCCTCACTGTACGATTTTATTTTTGCAAAATTACAACAGTTTCAATAATTAATGGGAGCCACTTGGACACTCTGGTCAGTTCATATAATACTTGTTCACTGAATTTTATTAAATCACGAATTTCTGACGCTCAATCTATAATTAATTAATCATTTTAAATTATCCATTCTATTTTTCGAAAATCCCGTTTCAAATTTCCGTCTATTCGGCGAGAACGTAGTTTGTCCGAAGAGAAGCAGGCGTTGAACACTTTCAAGGGGCGGTGTATATAATTCTCTTTTACCGTGATCCAGATCATTAACAGCGTGGAAAACCCAGGGCAGATACACCGACGTAAATTTCGTTTCGTAGATGGGTCTGCGGAAGAAGTAATTGAACGAAGAGGAAAGTGGGCCAGAAGGGTTAGGGAGCGGGCGAACCCCCCGAGGTTCAACGGTTGTTTTATGCAATCTTCCTTCGCTTCTGCGGACACCGTTCGCCGAACGGGAGGGATCGCGTTTTCCACGGCGAAATTGAACGTCGGGGGCTTTATTTTCCAGCGTAATCGGGAACAGCAGCGTTCAAAGCAGTCGAACGAAATTGAGAGTATGGTAAACAGACGATGGACAGAATAACATCGTCTTCTGGTCTTGTCAAAGACGGAATCCTTTGAAAGAGGAGGCGAGTCATTCCGTTCCGCTCTCGGCCATTAAGCAGAAGTCACGCTGAGTTTCACCAAACAATTTCACTCGCCGCCACGGTCGTAACGGTTTCGCATTTAATTTTTTCCCGCTGCCGAGTCTATCAAATCGATTAACGTTCGATCGTTTTTCGTCTTTATCTATGGCGTTTTAATGGTACACAGTGTGTCGCTTAATCGTCTCACCTGGTATTCGCACTTAAACTCATGCTCGAGGAACGAGAGTCGCCGAAGTTCCCAAGAGAGTTCAAACGCAGTTAGGATCGGATCCTTTGAGGAAAGAGCGATCAAGGACGGCGAGGCCAGGGCTCTGTACGCGTTTATCCGGCTCCTGGAATGCCTCAGAGAGTCCTCCCTCCTCGATGTTACACACTCGTCGCACCTGTCGATGAATCCGACACAACCGTGATCGGCAATCAGTATCGTCGCTAAGTACATCCTCCGGCTAATAATTTTCCGCTCTGTTTGTAAACTCTCTCTCTCTCTCTGCGCGCCGCGTAAGAGGATACAGACGTACGTACGTACACGTATTTACAACAAATATTATTCGACTAGCGAAATTTCACCGTGTGCTCGAAATTTAGGGGAAATTTAGGAGTAGGGGGTGTGCAGGGGAGGAGATCCGAGCTGACGGGGGTTGCGACGCAGATGCTCTTAATTGGTTCTGCTCGAACCGTCTCGAGACATGCTAAAATCAGTCCGGGGAATTAATCGAAACGTGAAACGTGTATTCGACGAGGGATCTCGTAGTTTTCTCCCCCTCTCCCGCTTCCCGCCTCCCCTTCGAGCATTCATTTACGAGTGAAATTTCATCGTGTTTATGGGGAAAAGGGGATGATAGGGGAGATTCGAACGGTTTCGCTCACCCGCAGCGAACATCGTGAGGCATAGGCAACGTGGAGCCCCGATCCAGAAGGATTTTGATGATCTCGTAGTTGTCCCTGTGTGCGGCCAGGATCAGGGGTGTGATGTCCGGCGTGAATGTCGCGGTGTCCGACGGCAGCGCTTCCCAGCTCTGAAACACAGACGCGGAGAGACCCGTCCTCGTATATATCGAAATGCGACGCTGATCGATTCTGGACAGAAAGTTGAAAGGAGAGATTCGCGGATCGCGGATTCGAAATGCTACAACTTAGATTGTCGCAACGATGTAGAATTAGAGGATTATTTCCAAGAGCGAGTATTCGTTGCATTCGATATTATACATTAATGGCTACAATAAAATCGTAGATCCGCGATTACTAACGACTAAAAAGCTGGAACTGAAATAAAAAAAATTTACTTCGTAAAATTTGCCACAGCTCGTGGCTTGTACATAGGTTGAAACGAGGAAATAAACGAAACAAGGTACACGAAAGTAATAGAAATAGCTGTTTCATTCCACCAGCCAGCCGCGATGCATTCGTATCTATCCTATTTCTCTAGAAATCGACGCAAAGTACATCGGCAAAGTAACAAAATCGTTCCGATCGTTACAGCACGATAATTATTTCCGATGTTAAGTATAAGCCGAGTCCTTGGTCGGGAAAGAGGAACGGAAGCCGATTAAACTGTCTCTCTCCCTCTTTCTCTCTCGTTTGCAATTCCGCGCCCGCTCGCATCTATATTTTTTTTTTCGTTCGCCCCGAGTGTCCGCTCGGCGTGAATTTGACCGGTATACGGGACATGCCAGCGTTTTCCAAGCTTTGACGGAAATGGGATCCGGTCAGCCGGCTTTTTATCGGGACGCGCTTTGTCGCGAGCGACGACGGCTCGAGACACCGGCGATCGACGAAAAACTCTCCCGGCCAGCTGATTAAAATGTGGGTCGACCTATTTGTCGGGATGAAACCTATTTAAATCCGTGGCTGACGGGTTGCCCGGTCGTCTACGCGCGCAGCCAGCCAACCAGTGAAAATTAAGGGGAGAATTTCGATAACTGAAACGAAATTGCCCAGCCGGAAAAATGCAATCACCTCTTAATTACGAGACGAAGCTTGCCGCCGTGAAATCAAAGTGTCCCCGATAAACAGTAAACCGAAGAGAGGCTCGAGGGAGAAAAATGAAAGGAAAAAAAAAGAAAAACGAACAGAAAACGTTTTACATTTCCGAAAGAGGGGGAGAAATTAAACAAAATCAGCGCGACTATTTTCTACGGATCGACAAAGGGAGAAGAGAGTAAAAGTATGCTTGGATCGATACGGTTACATATACTAGACGATGAAAGCGACTAACGTGTGGCTCCCCGTTTCGATGAAGACTCTCCTCGTGTTCCAGAAGTACCTCGACCGCCTCGACGAATTCCTCGGAGATGGCGTGAAGCAGGGCGTCCTTCGTGTCGACCTTGTGCTCGATCAGCAGCTCCACCATTTCCAGATTTTCGTTATCGATCGCCATTAGAAGCGCCGAACGTCCCAACGGGTCCACGCAATTGATGTTCATTTCGGTTTCGAGGGCGCTCTGCAACATCCTGAAACAACATCCGACACGCTCGCTAATGATCGCTCACTCTCGTTACAAGCTCTCCCATTTATTTATTCTTCTTTTCTCTTTTCTTTTTAACCTTCGTTTCTCCATTTTCTCTCTCTCTCTCTCTCTCTCTCTTTTTCCCTTTATTTTTTAACCACAAAGCAAACGACTCCGACCATTACGTTCGCCGAGAACGAATCGACTCCGGCGATCGTATTTAGCTGTCCCGTTTCCCGAATGCGCGAGCCAAATGAGAATTCCACGGTCGGTGAAACTTTCTCGTACATCGGAATCGGTATTAATCGCTTCGAGGCGAACTACGCCGCGAAGAATTCCGAGAAGCGTCCCGGGATCGCGGGACGATTGTTCGCAAGATAATTAGATCCTTTGCCTCGACGCAATGACTGTGAATATAGTATATATATATATATATATATATAAGGTGTCATGTAACTGGTGGTGCAAGTAGGAAGGTAATGAAAAACTGAATAAAAAATGTAGAATAAAATTTTTTCATACGAAGCTTTGTTTCCGAGAAAAATAGCTTCAAGTACGCGTGCACTTGATCAAGATTCAACTGAATTATTGGAAGACATTCATCTTGAAATTCGAAGAAATTTAATTCACCAACAAGATGGAGTACCATCGCATTTCAGTCGTGAAGTGAGAAATTTTTTAAACGAAAACTAACCAATATTGAATCAGGCGCAATGAAAGAATACGTTGGCCATTACGATCTCTGGACTTGTTTCTCCGCTGGATTTTTACTTATGGGGTCATGTTAAATCGACATAGCGAACGTTGAACAATTAAAAAATTATTATAGCGTTTGCAACATTGAAACTACAAAATAACACATTAGAAAATGTTCGTAGGAATTTAATAAGGAGAGCACAGTTATGCATGCGACAACGTGGACAACACTTCCAACAATTTTTAAACTAAAAAAAATTGGTGAAGAGTGGACATTCTGTGCCCTCGTGTACGAACATTGGGAATGTTGACAAATGTTAACGGAGATAATAATGAAATCCGTTGAGTCGAATCTTGATCAAATACACGCGTACTCGATAAACCTTCAAAGTCATTTTTCTTCGGAAACAAAGCTTCGTATGAGAAAATTTTATTCTACATTATTTATTCAGTTTTTCATGTAGAATCACCATCTTCCTGCCACATTTAAGTACCACCAGTCACATGACATCCTGTATATAAACGCCGTGCTTTTGAGCTTCCTTCGCGAGATCGTTCGTCCTCCTTAACGCTTAAAAGTCCTAGATCCGACGATCCGATCTCCGGCAACGCGCGTGCACGCTCATTTTGCATAAAAGCCACGATTGCGATGCTCTCACGCGCTCTTTACTCCCGCCTTTCAAAATTAACCATTGTAGTCGCATTGAAAGCGATCGAAACAATACCTTGCCTCTCGCCAATTTTCACTCGTTGGATATTCACGTCGCAGATGTATGCACATTCGCGAGAGGGAATCTTCCTCCTCCGAAAAATATACACGTACGACTGCGATATATGTATCTGTCTGGTTTGATACGTTTCTATTTATATCCATGTTGTAGAAAACTAGGAACGAATAGGAACGACGAAATGAATAGTAATTCGAGAAACGTAATTTAAATATTAATCACGTTGCTGTTACGGCGTGTCGCAATTTAAGTAAGATGCCTTGCACGAGATGCTATCGCAAGATACAAACAATATCATTCGCGATGTGCTATAGATGAAAATGAAAACGATTCGTACGTTTCCTTACCATATTGAAACTCGACATTTTAACGACATTATTGATTATCTTCGATATTAATCCTTTTATATTTGATACTGTATAGCGCCTACAGGCGCTTAACTTACTTCAGTCCACTGAAAGTGAAGAGGCGTTCATTACTCGAATCGAACTGAAGGCGCCTACGAGCTTTGTTATCCACAGTAATTACAGCAAACTGCACTTGGATCAGACGTAAGTGAATTCCAATTCAACAATTACATCTTCCGTTAGTCACGTATCATTTAACGTGATTATTTCATAGTTATTTCGTTTAATAAAAAAAAAATGGAAAGATGTGGTAATAAATTAATCATAAAAAAGGCGCAGAAACGTAACGGAAGAAGGGAGACGCATTACGATTGCGAGAAACGTGACGTGGGATTATGTATTGACCCATGTTTCGAATTGCACCACACTTTACTAGATTATTAGATGTACATATTATGAAACAAAGTTTCAAATCACTGGTGAAAAATAAAATTATATTAATATTAAATATATAATAAAATTATAAAATAAAAATTAATATTTATATAATATTAAATTTTCAATATGTGCACTAACAATTCAATACGAAGCAACTCGTTGTCTCGATTATGACGAAATGTATTTCACGCTGACGAAAAATTTCATCGTTTCCGGTATAGGTCGCGATCGAGCTCCAATACGGTGTGCCACGTATCAAAAATCTACCCGCAGCGAAAGGGTTAATAAACGCCGCGTCTTACAAATTGATTTCTATCCAAATCGTCGGAGTTCTTTCAGTCAAGCAACTTATTATAATCCACGGCACGTCGTGCACGATATTGTTTGAATTACGATGCACGAGATATCTCGTCCACAGCAGCGAAGAGATTAATATCCACGGAGAGGTCACGAGACGTGTCTTCTTTTTTTTTTTTTCTCTCTTCAATGATTAATCGCGAGATTCAAACGCGCTCGAGGATGTGTAACGAGGATCTCGAGTGGCTCTCGAACTCCTCTCCCGCCATTACGAAGAGGGAGAGATTAGCGCGCGTGCGAGGGTGAATTTTTCCAGAGTGTCCAGCGACACTCGAGGATTCTCTCTTATCCTCGTAATCTACGCGTTTACGAAATTTCCAGACACGATCTCGTTCCCAACGCGAACGCGCTACCACGTTCTGTACATACGTTTCTCATTTTCTACGAGGATCTCACCTTCTGACGGAAGCCACGTCGCCGCGTTCCACCGCGAGAAGGTATTTCTTCTCCTGATAGGAGAGACTGGCCATCTCCTGGTGCGGCCTCACCACGTTCTCCTCCTCTATCATGCCGTGGATACTGTGCCTCTGAAACCGTCGTAACCTTTTATTACACACCTAGCCGAAGTGTCCGCTTCGTCCAATGCGCGATTCATCTTGTGGGGCAGGATTAATCAAAATGGACGCCCGCTGTCCGTGAACGTGCGAATACTTTCCTCCAGGGGGTTTTGCAAAAATACAAAGCGATCTGGCTTTAATTTCAAAAGGAACTGTTAGTTACAAACACAAACCTGTCGTTCATCGACGCTGATTTTAGGGACTGAATCTTTCTCTTTAACGATTAATAAAATATAATATTCAGTAGCAAAGGGATTGAAGCGCAAGAAAAAGTTAATAATACAATAAAGAACACAAGTTTCTATTAACAGATTTTACTAAAAATCATTCGAGTAGCTAAAAATATACTGTTATAAATGTAAAAAAATTTCCAGAGAAAATTGCGATCATTTTGGTTTAGTTTTAGTGTTAATAACAAGTAAGACTGTTCTCTTAGTAGTAGCACCGTTCTACGCTGCTTATAGAAAGAATACAGCATAAAGCATAAATTCTTACGTTTTATTGCTCATAAAGTTTGCGATTCTTTTATTACAGGAATTTAATATAAATGCGTCTTTTTAGATATCTTACGGATTTCCCTCTCTTTAGATCCAGGATTTACAAAGCAAAATTAAACTCAAGCAGTTCGAGTGTATTCGTATACTAAGAATTTCGAACGTAATTAACAAAATTATTAAAAAACTTTGGCCTCTATCCTTTCTAATGACTGACTGAACACAAAACTCGTGAACTAAGGCGTCCTCTTTCGCAAATACCTTTACATCTTCTTTACGTTCTCTTTTACATTTTTATTTTCATCACTCTAGTTACTTGTTACTTACTTTATTGCTATCGCTTCTCTTTTCACATCAACGGGTTCTCCCATTCTAATAAATAAATTTGAATAAATTGAAAATTTCCAGTCAAAGATTCATCTCGCATCTCGCACATTTTCACGGCTTTAACTTGACTTTGAACGTTTCCCTTGCCTCCAAACTTTCCGCAAATGCATGAAAATCGACACTCTGTTCAGGCGACGTTCCACCGAATACACTATACATTTCTATATTTTTCGATACAGCGTCATAGCTGCTCGTCTATTCGTAATAAATGTTATTCAGTAGCTCCCTAGATTTCCGGCCGATCTCGCAAAAGAGAAACCACCGATTCTTCGAGAAGCTCGGAGGATGCCGGATTATTGATCGACGGACGAAGCTCTGATGAAAGATGGATGAAATTAGGATGATAAATGTATCGGCAACGTACATACACGTCGCTTGAGTGAAAGGCGCGCGAATTAAGGCCGACGCGACACGAAAGGAAACGCCGCGATTTAAAGCGACACTATATCTCGATACAGAGGGAAAGCAAACATAATGGCATGACAAGCTGGACACGAGTATAGTCGAGGGTGTTGTCCAGGGAGAATTTTCACGAATCTCGACGTTTTAACCCCAAAGCTCGATAGATAAAACCGCTGTCTGAGTTTCCGAAGTTTTTCTCCTAGGAGAGCTAGCTCTCTCCCAGTTTTAAACTTCTTCGTGCAAATATCTAAACTTCTCACGCTCGAGGGATTTTCCCCTATTTTCAAAGTGTATTTTCCTGTGCATTTCTTTTTTTTTTTTTTTTGGAGGGGGGAGAGAAAATATTTATCGCACGGGAATGAGGCTGTGATTGCAGAGCAAATGGAGAAACGAAACGATGTTTATGCTGGACTATTGGCGGCGAGTGAGTAACCATTCGGAGCATGCACCGGGCAGATTTGGCATCCGCGCGTGCCACGTGGACAGTCGGCTCCACACGTGGCGCGTGAAACTTTTCACTGGGTAAACAATTTTTCTCCTAAGTGTACGCATTTGCGAGGTAATTTTTATTACGTCGATTTGAAGCGGGATGATGATTCTTGCGCAAGAAACCTGTTCACAGAGTGAAGAGCACGACTGCACGAATGGAAAATTCGAATGGATGACTCGAACGTTTTGTGAAATGTTTTCTGACAGTCGCGAGTTTGTTCTTTTCGAAGGTGATGTGGAAGAATGAGGATACTTTGTTTTTGAAAATTGTCAAAATTCAAAGTAGAATCTTCACGCTTTAAAACGAAACCAATTGTTTTGTATTGAAAATTAGATATTGACGCTATATTGTAGGTAATAAATTTGTAAATATATCATTTTAAGCATATAAAATTGAATATAGTTTATTACACATACACACACACATATATGTATACAGAGTGTGTCGTCTAACTGAGCACAGTGAAATATCTCGGAAAGGGTTGAAGCTACGAAAAAAAATGTTTATACAAAAGCTGTTCAGTATAAACAGATGTCTTACGTAGTATTAAGAAATTTTTTTGGTTAATACAATGGTGGAGGATATTTCAAGGTCAACTTGATTTTTTTAAATCAAACCATACATGTTCTTATACGTATTACGACAGATACGAATCCAATGACTTACAATGTTGTACCATTTCTTCCAATTAGTCCTAAATTAAGGATGATGGAATGAGCGTATTACGTATGGTGGATCAGGTTGCGTCGCGTCTGCATAGGACGACATCGTCGAATGTCAGATAAACTAACGCAAACTTCATCGTCCTTAATTTAGGATTACCTAACTAGAGGAAACGGTACAACATTGCAGGTCATTTGATTCGTAATTCGATTGAAACCAGCTGTCGTAATGCGAGTAAGAAAATGCATAATCTGATTTAAAAAAATCAAGTTGACCTTGAAGTATCCATCACCATTGTATGAATGAAAAATTATTAATACTACGTACTTTTTATACTGAACAGTTTTTCTATAAACATTTTTTTCGTAGTTTCAACACGTTCCGAAATGTTTCACTGTACTCGGTTAGACGAAACACCCTGTGATATATTAATTTATCATTTATTTAATCATCGACAATTTTTCATTGATATGTAGATTTTACACATTCGCACACTTGACTCATATTGACAAGAAAAAAAAAAAAACGATCGCTAATTGTGAAACTAAATCAACCAACGACCAATTTCAAGCACCGCAGAGAGCTTTAGATCGCCTCTCTGGCTCTCTCATTGTGTTCGCAACGGTGATAATTGATTTAATTGTCTCGGTTAATTCTCGAAATAGCCTTGTACTTTCCTCGTTCGAGGCGTTACGGAGGATAATCGTCGAGCGATTAGTAAACAATTGGCGAACAATCATCAGAATCCACCAACGATATCGAGCCAACGATACGTGTGCGATTGGATTCGATCAGCAACAGAAATGAAGAATTTTCGTGCTTTAGACGTCGGTTAACCCTGCTGCGGTCAGGGGTTTCAATCTTGCTTCAGTTTCAATGGAAAACAAGATTTTCCGATACGCCGAAGGAAACTCTTTCAACGTTAGATACGGAGGACCGAGGATTATTAAAATCTGCTTGCAATTGTTCGTAAAACAGTGCTCCGTAATATTAATTCTCGGTACTCGTATCCGAAACTTCGCAAGATTTCGCAACCCTCGGAACTTTCGACACTCGAAACTCTCGGCACTCGAAGCTTGAAGCGCTGATTTGATCTCGCGGGAGGAATCTCTCGTTTTGAGAAGTTAAGGGCTTAGCGCTTCCATGTGGAATTTTTATACGACGAACAAGATACGAACGAAAATAGAACGACGTGCAAATGTACTTAATCTAGATTCTTTTTCTTTTTTAAACACTAACATCCGATCTCTTTCTGAATTTAATCTATTTCTCTTTTCTATCGACCGTATGTACAGTATACCATTGGCATAATCCTTTTTCGATAATTTCTCTAGATTTCGACATTTTACACTCTACTATCATTTCAGAATTACGATCGATCTGTTTGCATTTTTCAAAAACAAAAACCGCGTCCGCGAAACGTTTCACGCCCGAACATTCGAGATACGGATAAATCGGACATTCTTTATTCTTTATGAAGTGCTGCAAATGAACTTTACCGATTGATTTTGTATTTTTTCTTCTCCGAGTATCGAGAATTTCGAATCACGAGGGAATTTGCCAAGTTTCGAATTCTCTTTAGCTTTCGAAACTTTCGAGTAGTAAAACCCACCCCCTGGTTACCGATATTTGCCAATATTTCTCTCAGATATCGAGAGAACGACAGAAATAGTGGGAAATGATTGAAAGCGCGCCGCAGTCAAAGTTAATGGAGAAATACACGAGAGACAATGTGGATGAATAAGGAAAGGAGGGGGAAGAGATCGAAGGTCCAGTTGAAATTGGAACGATCGCGGGAAGAACAAGGGTAGTAATTAACGGCTCCGGTAGCCGTTCATTGTTCGATCGTGGAAACCTCTTGTTAAGAGGCAACTACTCTTTATGCTGGCCATTGGGTCGCGGGACAGGGAAAGAAGACCGGTGCAACACGTGAAGATCAAGCGTGAGTGGAAAACAATACCATCTTCCTACACCCCTTACTCTATTCAAAAGCGGTATTAACCTTTATGCTCGTACCTATACCTTCTTCGCAGCGGGACATTGTTCCTCGGGATCGTGCAAACTTTTCAATCTCCGGAATCCTCGAGACAAAACCGCTGCTCCAAGGAATCGTGATTACAGTGTAATTGTTTGTTGCGCCAAGTAATTGTTTATCGTCGTCCCTTCGATCATTCGAGAATTGCATTTCGAAATGTGCAACGGCGAAACGGCATGTTAGCGATTAATAAATATAATTTTTAAAGATCGTGCGATTTCTCTCGCGTGTCTCACTCGCAATTACTGATATTTTTGGATGGACAAAATATTGGCGCGCAAAACAAATTTTTATAGATGTAAAAATGTACGATGTGGTAGAGATTCATCGATTCTGACTATCTATCAAAAATTATAAACTGGTCATTTTGTAACAAAAATTATAAATCGGTCACTTTGGTTGTTCCAGTGTCAAGGAGGTAAAAGCCAGGAAGTTTGTCGAAGACGTTAACCAAGAACATTAAACGTAAAGCATTGAGTTTTGAAGGAGAGAAAGAGAGAGGGACCAGCGAAACGATTATGATCCGCAAACACACGTACGATCGAAACGGAAATGAAATAGCGAGGGGGCAACGCGAGACGTGACCCCGCGGCTTAATGTCAGCGTCTTTAGCAATTAGGCGTTCCTAATCGTAAAGTTGTTCCACGTTGTTTTTGCTGCGTGTACGTACACTATACAGGATGACTCACGTATGTAACTTGCACACCTGAAATAGCTTTAAATACAGAATTTAAACTGAATGAATTGTCCGAATGTGAGATAATAACACTGTTTATCCGACAATATTATTACGCGGTTTTCATCCTCGAAAGAAATGATCGTAAAACATCTCCTTCGCCATTACCTATAAGACCAATGTGACTCGATACTTTTTTACTTGGATTTTAATTAACATTCTTTCGACTTCTAATGAAAAGAAAATATATGGTCCAATTGCAAAAAATAGAGATAACCTTGTAAACTTGGAAACTTGATATTTCGCCACCGTTAAGACCACTTTTGTACGATACAACATTTATATATTGATCAATCGTTCATTAATCAGTCGCGTCATTTAAAAGTTATTTCAGGTGTGCAAGTTATACACGTGATTCACTCTCTGTATGGTATACATATATGTACGTACGTACATATGTACATATATTTGGTCCCGGTGGAAAAGGGTCGAGTGGTAGGGGCCGATAGAAAGGTGGTGGCTAGATGGTAGAAGGTTGATGGACAGTGTTTGCCGAGGGTGTGGCGGCTCGGCAATTAGGGTGCGCCGGGCAAACACTCGTTCGCTGTCAGTGTCGGCCCTTGGCACAGTATGTCATCTTCTTGAAGCCGAGAGGGGTAATCGCGAGCTCGCGCGCATTTCGCCGAGTGCCTCCCTTCCTCCCTACCTCTCTCGCTAGCCTCATTATCTCCCACCCCTCTTTTCCAGCCGACTTTCGCCAAGAATTTTCATCCGTAACCCACTCTAAGATCGTTAGATCTAAGACAACGGCGAACGAAACGTTGATCTGTCGCTGTTTCGGCCTGAAGGAAAAATTCAAGGAGCGAAATAATAGAGCGTGGTAAGAACCAGAGAAAACCGAAATATTTCGAGGTTTAGGCATTGTACCCAGAGACTGAAACCGAAATATTGTGAGGTTTAGGTATTATACCGATATTTGCTCCCATATTATCGCAATGTAACTATTATTGGGAAATCGGTTTTAGTACCGGTATATATAAGACGGTCATACCGGTACTAAAATTTTCATACGTATTTTATCGATATTTGATATCCACAGCGGTAAAAATACCGAAATATATACCGGCACCGTACCACTTTACTGACAAAAACACATTTTTCATTTTCTACGTACAATGACTCTTATTAATATTTGGACATCGTGATATTCAAAATATTGTTGTGGATTTCGATTGTTTATAATAGTAAATTTGAATTAATTTTTAATAATATAATAGAACACATTCATTATAGTTTATAATAACATAAATTGCACATACTTTTCTTAATATCAAACAATAAACTGAACTATGTCGAAATGTAGCGTGGCAAAACAAAAAATATTCGGACATTTGAAGAACTACAATATTCGAACCTGAAAATTGTTAACATAAACAATAATTAATATTTTGTTAGGTAGCCCTTAACGCGTTTGCTAGCCGCTAATATAAATAGAATAAAAAAAACGAATAAAAAAGCTAATAAAAATTAACAAAGTGTAAGTGTACAAGCATCATGAAATTTACTATCGGCAGCTTTATGAAAACATTTAATCATTGTCTCCTTTTCCTTTTCAAATATATTAATATTTTATTTACCGATATTACCGAAATACATTCACCGACCTAACATCGTTTTGATAGCATTGTATCAGCATTTACACCATTTCGGTTTCATCAAACGTAATCGAATAGTAACCTAAAAATACCGGTATCCGTAATACCGATTCGGTAAGAACATAACTAGGGTGGTTGAGAGCTTTCGCTGGTCCTTTTTCGAGGTAGCACTAGTCTCGAAACCAAAGATCACGTTCAAGGGTTCGTCTTGAATGATTTACCAGCAGCTTTTCGCCGCGGATTTTCCAAGAGATTTTAACGCATTGCGTCCGCGCCGTGAATCAGATCGCTGTCCCGCGAAACAAAGGCGATCGTGATAGATCGCCGGTGTTCCGGATAGCATGAAGATGAGATGAAAGCGTGGAAGATTGATTTCGACTCGTTTCAGCGAAACCACGGGATTTCGGAACAGCTTGACGAAGCAGGGATCCGACCCAGTGCGTCACAAGGCAATGAAAGGACCAATCGCGTTTGCTATCGCGTTTGAAGGAACCTTCGTTCGTAAATACGCACATTTTTGAATTACGAACTGTCACACAGTACTTTTCGCCTCGATCTCGAAATCAACTCGATCGAGATTTTACGAGGCAATAAAAAGCAGAAACGAAAGCTTCACAGTCCACTCGTAAAAGCGAGCGTAACACCGCACGCGTTATCCTCAGCCGGTCGTAGCATCGATAAAACAATTTTTGGTTGCTCATCCTTCTCTCTGATCGCCAGCGAGAGATACACGCTGCTAGAATGGGCGATTCGAATGGAACAGAGATCGCGTGGACGAAATTTCTGGCGCCGATCTCTCGTTGATAGTCGTCCTTAATCGTCTCCGTCGATCGGTCGATTATCTTAATTGCGATTGTCGAAAATTACGTGAGAAGGAGAGAGAGAAAGAGAGCTCGGAGAGAAGTAATCGCGTTCCTCTCGAGAAGATTGTCGAGAATAGGCGGCAATAAAAAAAGGCAGACGGGAGGAGTACTCCTGACTCGTAACGTCGAGTTTCTGCAAATTGGATCGGCGTCGTAACGCAGTTATCGTTCGACCGCTTTCTCCTAATCTTCCCTTTCCCTTCCTCACGTCTGTTAAACGCCCGTTTCCCTTTAACGTCTTGCAAGTCCATTAAACCTCGCGCCGACAATCGAAATATTTTGTTTGCACCGAGTACTTTCGGTTCTCTATCTTGAAATTATAACGTCATCTGTTGGCACCTTGGATACATTTAACGAGTTAGAATCGTCATACGTCTCTTGTGCCAAAGTTTAGGACGACGAAGTCTAACTTGTCAAAAGATTCGAATCAATTGGCTCGCTTCAAAGGGATACGCATAAATAATGTCGTTTTTTGACATTGTACAAAATTTTATTTTATTTAAATTTTTTTTTTCTGAATTATTGTCACTAGGTGGCGATGTTTATTAAATTTGAGAAAAATGATATTACTTGTGGATATCTCTAATATTTAATGAGCTCGTAATCGCTGGCGAAAGAAAGTATTAAAAGTTATCGTACACAAAAGTATTTCGTTGTGCCTCGTCTATGAAACGCAGATCAGTAAATGTCGAAACTAGCAGAAAATTTGCATCATTTGGAAGTGGTAACGACGACAATTGTGACTTCGAATCAATTTGATCAAGAACTTGATGATTCCATTGATAAATTCTGTTTCTCTGTAATACGCAATAAATTTTGGTAATTTGAATGAATGTACAGTAATATCAATAATGCCATATACTTTTATATTTAAATAAAATGAAATTTTTAAGCCGAGATCTCTCTCATGCAGTGAAAAATAAAGCAAAATGGGATTAATCCCAAAGAGGCTGAATGTGAAAGAGTTAAAATCGGGAATTTTTCACTTTTGTGAAAAGACTGATCCTGTCCGCGACAAATACAAAATTGATGGATTTTACTAATCAGCCGTGTCACGCGGGTTTCGACGAGTAGCCAGCCCTTGCGTACGAATAATTTCCAATCAATTTTAATCCCTCTCTAATTAGTCCATATACTCGCAGATAATCGATATAATTTCGATGAGAAATTGTTAATCGGAAAACAGAACCGGGAATCAATTTATTAATCGGGGTCGAACAGCTTGCGTTGAGATACTTAGCAAACTTGTCGTATTGGATGATGGAACTGGAGGTTTTTGCGCGACGTTCAGGAACTTACCTTGACCTTTTCGTCGATCTTTCTTGCAGGTTGGGGTGGCGGCGGCGGTGCCTCGGGGTCGAAGCTTACGCGTTGCCCGATGCCCCGTAGGAAGCCGCCCCTGGCGCCGGAATTCCAACCCCTGGCCATGTCGGTGTCCATCCTCAAAGGGAGATCTGCGCGATCCTCGTCAGTAGCACCGATTTCTTCGCCGGGACCGCTTTCACCAGGGGATCTCGCGCCCCTGGCGCCATGCTCCTCATCTTCGTGCGCGCTTTCTGAAACAGACAGGTCCATTTATTCTTACTCTCGTGAAATATAGTCCACCCTTGAAGACAAGGCAAAGCACTCGTCTATTCTTCGCTAATTCGCGAAGAGAGAATTTCCTCGAATTTGCGATTCGATCGTGTTTCCATTCCTTCTTTTTTAAATTTTTATATATATTTCTTTTTCATTACTACAGATATATTATATATATATTTCTTTTATATATATTATATATTATAATATATATATTTCTTTCATATATATTATATATATATTTCTTTTTTTTTTTACCCACTTGCAGTCGCGATATTTGCCCGTTCTCCGACAGACGGAAAATACCCGGCTCCCAGTTTCATTTCTATAGCCGATGCCCTGTTCGATTCGATGGAATAATACGACAGTACAGGCAGCACATGTTTAACAGTAACCGTACCATTTTCATCATGTCGGTAGACCGTCATATCGGTGGGGATTTAAATAAAGTGCGCCGCGCGCACGGAAGAATGGCAGGGATCTAACAGAGGACAAACGAAACGACGAAGCGGCCGGCGGAACTAGATACACCCTTGTTGGTAATCCAAACGTATGATGGATCGCGGAATACACTCACCCTTATTGGTTTCACGCAAACATACGCGCGCGTACCGAGTGCGCGTCGGCAACTCTGCGACGTAATTTTCGGAGCTCTCCGCTCCGAGGATATCGATTACAGCGGCAGTGATACCCACCGTGGACAATCTCGTGGACGTTGATCGTGAATGAAAACTGACGCCCCGTCCGATGAATCAACGATGGCGAGGAGGTGCCCCTCTCTCAATGAAACGACGACTTTCGCGAACCGTTCGGCCATGAAATAGATTCATTGTGGAGAAACAATCGGGGATCGTCACGCGGTTTCCCCGATCGCGTTTAACAAACGCATTGTTCGGGGGAAAAAGAGTAGCGTTATTTCGCTCGCCGTCAATGGCGCGCGGCAACGGAACGACGTTTCTCCTCTCAATGCCGCGCCGTTTCGTTATCGTTTCCCGGCCGATTTTCTAATTCTTCCGGCCCATTTGTCCGTGATTGTCCGACAGCGTGTGCTCCTTCGGGAAACGATAGCGAGCAAGTACCGTTTCGTTGCCTCTTGTACCTTCCTGTTCTTTCTTCTTTCTTTTTAAATAAGCGCACAGCGACCGATTATCGTTGCGAGCGACGAGTCGAGAATAAAATTCGCGGCGGAGGAGTCGAAGTGAAAAGTTAGAGAATATTGTGCATCGCATTAAGGAAGGAACTTTCATTTTCTCAAAGTAATTTTATTTGTGATAAGAATTTCTTTTCACATATTGCCAAAATATTAACGTCTATGGACGTTAGTTGAATACAGAATTTAAAGAAAACAGAGAAAATTTGTGAAAAAAATGCTCTTCGTTAACAAATCCCCCTCTGTTTTTCAATACAACTGTCTACCGCTTTAGGCATTCTTTCAATTAATTTATCAAAACTTTCAAATGACATATTCGCCCCACGGTGTTGTAAAATCTTTATTAAATACCTCTGTTGTACACAACAACTCAAATGGGTATTTATTAAAATTTTCCAATCTCCATTTTCTTTCAGAGAAATCCTCTATATAACTTGGAAGAACGCTTAGGATTGTCATCCTGTCGAACGATAAATTTAAAAGCAAGAATGCCTTTCGAACTCGAAGTGAAAGAATTAAAGTCGAACAGAGGAGGGGTAGAGTGGATCAACCGATCGAAACAATTCCTTCTGCGGCCATTAATCTCAAGAGTAAATACCTATCACGAGTGCGGCGAGGTTTCATCGTTAATTTATCGAACGTCGCGTTACTGTTGGGCGAGGTTGCGCAACGAGATCGTTAAGAGACCGATGATTTACATAAAGCACGATGTGTGCGTGAACCGCGTTTCACGCGTCGAATAGATCTCGAGGCGAGATGGCCGGGGGTTGTATTCCGAAACGAATCGAAATCCAGGAAACTTCTCCGCTCGTTCTATAGAACGAGTTCCTCTCCTACAACGAAGAAATTTGGTTAAATAGTTCGTTTTAACGTTGCATCAATTATGCATATCGTAACGGGGTGAATGCAAATTTATTCACTGTCGAACCGTTAATAACGTTATCTGTTCATCCCCGACTTCTAAGTTAATCCCCTGCTTCGCAATTTTCCTGCCAACTATTTAAGCGATCTTTCATTACTATAACACGATCTTTCATTACCATAAGACATTTCGCGTTTGACGCGAAATATTTAAAAATATAGTATAATTATATTGTATAATTAGTATAGTATATAGTAAAATATAGTATATTATATTGTATATTATATAGTATATATTGTATAATTGTAAATTATAGACGATTATGCAGTAAAAATTTCTCGAAATTTAGCGCCGGGATACACACGACGGTGGGTCGAAAAAGTATTGCCACAGCCACTAGTTTTCTTGGAATACTTTTGTGAGAATGATACATCAACGAAATAGTGCACTGTATGCAAAAATAGTAGCAATAATGAATTGTGCAATAATAATACAAATAACATAGAAATTTGAGACTCAAAAAGATATTGACACATGAGGGGTGGTTTTTTTCTTTCGCAGCTTTAGCACTTGATAATATTCTAGCACTTATGAAAAGATATTTTATATCTTTAATTTCTAATAACATTCGGCAGATTTAAGCAGTGGAATTACAAGTGTGTCAATATTTCTTTTGACTCTCGAATTTTTACATTTCTTGTTCTCTTTCTTTTATTATTCTATAACTTATATTCTTGGAAGTTGCTTGGATCGTGCACGTTACTCTATGCGCAGCGAACGTATTTACAGAAACGTATATTATTTGCTTTCGTAAAAAGATATAAAAATCCAGACTTACCAATGTCTTTTTGATCCGCGGTGCATCCACATTTTTTACGCCCTACATAATTACGAAAATGATAATAAAAAAAAAAAAAGAAGAAAAGGAAAATATGACAAGCGATGTAACGCTACGCGATAGGACTGGATATTTCCTGGCGTTGCGCATCGTTACGAGTGTACCATTTACATTCGTCGAAATCCCCTCTGAGTCGATAACGACGCAAACAGAAATAAAACGCGCTGTTATTTTAATCTGAAACTTTATTTGATCGCGGCCTCGTCTGTTCATCGCGGTTTCGATCACGTTCGATCGGCTAAATCACCGAACGTGAGAACTGTTTTTTTTTTTTCCAACGGTGCCGTCCGAGTCATTAGCTCGAAAAGCCTAACTCTCTCTCTCTCTCTCTCTCTCTCTCTCTCTCTCTCTCACCTCTAATTCCCAGCGTTCCCATTTTTCACTGATTCAAGATCGCTGACCACAGTCGAGTGAATTTTATTACCGACATTATGCACGGACGATAACTCACGCTGGAGATTCCTAACGATCGCTGCGTGCTCCTCTGCTCGTAGCTTGTTTTAATTGCCTCGAGAGACTCCGCGAATATTAATTCCCTTCCTTCGCACGGACGCATCATCGAAGAAATATATCGCCAGATCGTTATCGAAAACAATGAAATTTCTTTTGAACCAGAAGGGAAATTTCTAATAGTTCGAGCAGTGTTTCTTTACCGTTTAGAACAACAATCTTTCGATTTCAAGGACTTTTAACTCCTTAATTACTGTTACCTATAGGCAAATGTTATGGACAGTAATTACAATAAAAACATCTTCCGTTAATCATGTATTATTTAACCATGATTGTTTTAGAGTTATTTCATTCGATACCCTTAAAATAAAAAGGTATAATAATAAATAGAATCACAAAAAGTCACAAATATGTAGTGCGTGGAAAACAACGGATGAAGGGAGACATATTACGTACATATGCAAGAAATGTGACGTGGGATTATGTATCGTACCATACCTTACTAGATTATCAGATATATTATGAAATAAAGCTTAAATTTGAAAGTAAAGTTTTTAGTATGTGCACTGACAGTTCAATTCACAGAATACGAATAAATAAATAATACTGGTTTAATGTAGTGCAATTCAGTGTTTTGATTATTTCAATATACGATACAATATATATTCAGTATACAATACAATATATTCAACAGTGTAAGTCGCGATTCAAAGGGATTACAATAAATTATTCTTCATGTACAGTATCGAATAATCGTCAATAATAATAATCGTTGATAATTCTACTTGCTTTTCTATAATGTGAAACTTGAAATTACCTTTATCTCGACTCGTGCTACAGCTTTCCAACGAATCTCGTCCGATTCAGTTGTAACGGCGTAATGAAAAATAAGAAAGAAACGTAATTTCGTAAATAGCCGGCAGAGAGTATGAAATTTGCGGAGCTATCAAAAACAGAGGATCCGCGGCAAGTAAACAAGCAAACAGCCCTCAAAGAGCGTGGAAATTTCAAAGCTGCGAGATCGCGTAGTCTCAGGTTTCTCATCTGGGTGGAGAGGCAGGCAGGCAGGCTACACTTTTCAAACCTTTAATCGCCAGGAACGTTTGTGTACTTTCCTCCCGAGGAAAGACAGGCTCCTTAAATAGCCAGGAAAAGTTTCAGATAGTTTCTTAATACCGAACGAAACGCCGCGGCCTTCCCCGAGCAACAGCTCTTGCATCGTTTCGGGCCGCGGTGAGCGGAAACTTGCGGGAAACAGCAACTTTTTAAATACATTTGAAAGTGTTTAACTCGTTGGGAAGAGGGACGAAGGAACGAAGGTCGGATTTACATGCAATGAGGACGCCATTTGCAGAAAATAAGATCCCTCGACGATGGTTGCAAACGACGATGAACTCTTGTGTCTTTACGTTACAACTGCTTGATCTTAAATAATGATAAAAATTACACGAACATTTGAACTATTATTTACTACATTATTATTTACTATAGCATAGTATTTCTAGTATATATAGTATTTATAGTACTTATAGTACTATAGCATAGTATTTATAGTATATATAGTATTTATAGTACTTACAGTATAGTACAGTATTTACTATACTATTATTTACTATAT